TTGTGAGTCGACTCAACCCGACGTGACTTGTGAGTCGACTCAACCCGACGTGACTTGTGAGTCGACTCAACCCGAGGTGCCTTGTGAGTCGACTCAACCCGATGTGCCTTGTGAGTCGACTCAACCCGATGTGCCTTGTGAGTCGACTCAACCCGAGGTGACTTGTGAGTCGACTCAACCCGTTGTGCCTTGTGAGTCGACTCAACCCGATGTGCCTTGTGAGTCGACTCAACCTGATGTGCCTTGTGAGTCGACTCAACCCGTTTTGCCTTGTGAGTCGACTCAACCCGATGTGCCTTGTGAGTCGACTCAACCCGATGTGCCTTGTGAGTCGACTCAACCTGATGTGCCTTGTGAGTCGACTCAACCCGATGTGCCTTGTGAGTCGACTCAACCCGATGTGCCTTGTGAGTCGACTCAACCCGATGTGCCTTGTGAGTCGACTCAACCCGACGTGCACTGGTGGAGGGCGCAGGCGACGTGCCTCTCCGTCTGTGCCGTCGGCACAACCTCTCTCCCTTCTCCCACCCCACCCTCCTTACCCCTTTCTCCCCTTCCCCCCCACTTCACCAGGCGCACTGGTGGAGGGCCCAAGCAACGCGCTTCATGCTGCGGTGGCCGTCGGCCTACCTGTGCCACATCATCAACCGCGAGCGCCACCACATGTATGGCATGCACGTGCTCTTTCAGTCGACTCAAACCCCCCCCCCCCCCCCCTCCCCCCCCCCCACCTCTCCCTTGCTCCAGGTGCACTGGTGGAGGGCGCAGGCAACGCGCTTCATGCTGCGGTGGCCGTCGGCCTACCTGTGCCACATGGTCAACCGCACCCGCTCCCTCCCCTTTCCCTCGCCTCCCTCACCCCCCTCCCCTCCATCACCCCCGTCCCCTCCTTCCACCCCCCTGGTACTGCAATACCAGGCGCACTGGTGGCGAGCCCAAGCAACGCGCTTCATGCTGCGGTGGCCGTCGGCCTACCTGTGCCACATCATCAACCGCGAGCGCCACCACGTGTATGGCATGCACGTGGCACGGCAGGTGGTAGCATCCCAGATGGACCTACGTACCCTACTGGGAGAGTTCCGGGAGAGCAATAAGTCCGCTGGGGAGCTGGGAGGGTTTAATGGAGAAGGGGGGCTTTTGAAAGATAGCCAGGTCGTGGCGTCCCACGTGGACCAGAAAAGGCTACTGGGAGAGTCCCGGGAGAGCAATAGGTCCGCTGGGGAGCTGGGAGGGTTTAAGGGAAGAGGAGGGCTTTTGAAAGAGCGGCAGCTGCTAGCGATCCGTATGGACCATAGAAGCATGAGGAGGACGAGGAGGATGATGAAGGAGGGTGGGGTTGAGGGCTTAAAGGACGTTGGCCAGTGGAGGAAGTTTGAAGAGCAAGAGAAGCTCGACCTGGGGCCGCCTTCATCCCCCTCCTCTGCTTCTCACACGCCTCTGCCTTCTCCTACTGCTGCTGCTGCTCCTGCTGCTGCTGCTCCTGCTGCTGCTGCTCCTGCTGCTGCTGCTCCTGCTGCTGCTGCTGCTGCTGCTGCTGCTGCTGCTGCTGCTGCTGCTGCTGCTGCTGCTGCTGCTGCTGCTGCTGCTGCTGCTGCTGCTGCTGCTGCTGCTGCTGCTGCTGCTGCTGCTGCTGCTGCTGCTGCTGCTGCTGCTGCTGCTGCTGCTGCTGCTGCTGCTGCTGCTGCTGCTGCTCCTGCTGCTACTGCTGCTCCTGCTGCTACTGCTGCTGCTGCTGCTCCTGCTGCTGCTGCTCCTGCTGCTGCTGCTGATCCTGCTGCAACCGATTCCAAAGAAAATAGGGGAAGTATGGTTACCAGCAAAGAACGAGGGGAGAGAGTAACCAACGAGGACCGAGGGGATATGACACTCTCCAGTGGGGGTGCACTGAGGCAGAGAGGCCCTGGCTTGAAGACAACTGCGTGGCCTAAGATGGGGTACGAGGGCTGCAGCTTAGGGAATGCCGCTGCAGCTGCCAGCAGCAGCAGCAACAGCAGCAGAAGCGGAAGCGGAGGCTTAGGAGATTCGGAAGGGGAGCAGTACGGGTGGGATCCGTATCTTGCGAACTACGAGGGGGTGGGAGGGGAGCCGTACGTCCCGCGGCCGATAGTGAGTGTGCATGTGCGGCAGGGCGACAAGGGGATTGAGATGCAGCTCTTCTCCTTCTATGCATTCATGTTCATGGCCAATCGGGTGCGACGGGAGAATCCTAGTGTGCGATACGTGTGGCTCAGCACTGAAATGCAGGTGAGGGGGGGGAAGGGGCGCGCGGGACGAGGGGGTCGCAGGGAAGAGGGGGGAGAGAGGTTTAGGTGAGAGAGGGGAGTCAGGGGGGGGGGGGAGGAGCAGAGCCGTACGTCCCGCGGCCGATAGTGAGCGTGCATGTGCGGCAGGGCGACAAGGGGATTGAGATGCAGCTCTTCTCCTTCTATGCATTCATGTTCATGGCCAATCGTATCCGGCGGGGATTCCCCGGTGTGCGATACGCGTGGCTCAGCACGGAGATGCAGGTGAGAAGGGGGGAGAAGGGGGTGCAGGGGAGAGGCGTGTGCAGGGGAGAGGGTGGGAAGCATGCAGGTGGGTGGGGAGGCGCTGGCTTTTTTCCTTCTATGCCCTCGTGTTCATGGCCAATCACATGCGGCGAGGATTTCCTGTCGTGCGATACGCATGGCTCAGCAACGAGATGCAGGTAAGGGGGGGAGAGGGTTGCCCTGCCCACAGCACGAAAATGCATATTGTTGGGTATAAGCATTCCCAGGTGTACGATACGCATGGCTTAGCACCAAGATGCAGGTGAGGGGGAGGGGAGAGTTGCAGGCAGCACGTAAATGCATGCTGTTGGGTATGAGCATTCCCAGGTGACTGAATCATGTGTTTGCTCCGTGTTGCTTGTGGCGGCTATGCAGAGCGTTGTGGATCAGTCGAGTCGATTCACAGACTGGACGTTTTTCTACTCGGAGGTCCCAAGGCAAGGGGCTGGAACGAGAATGTCAGAATACACAGAGAAATTCGGCCTGGCACGCACAGTGGGAATAAGCTTTGCAAACCTGCTTATCGCTTCGGAATGCGACCATTTTGTTGGGGTTCTCGCGTCGAATTGGAATAGGATGATCAACGAGCTTAAGAACACCAATGGACGCTTATATAGTGGGTACGTGTCGTTAAACAACGACGAGTGGTGATTTCATTTTGTTTATTGCAATTGCTGTAATGCCATGCGTACCATGATTTTGACGCAACATTCTATTAGGAAGCCGACAAATTCCTCATATTGAAGTGTGGAGAAATACCGCTAACTGTACCATGCTCTTAACTGTAATTGCACGATGTTTTCCGCTATAGCGAATCCAACTTCCCCTTCTCTGACACGCGCTGTCAGCAGTACTGTACTGTAGTTCGGGCCTTGAGCTGAAATCGCGGCGTTTTCTAGATCGGTAATCAACGCTCCTCTGATCTCTAGCAGCACAAAGCGGCATTTCCGAGGTTCCCTTCCGGCCTGTGATTCAGAGCAGCAGCAACACCCATCGGGCTCGAGAAGCCTCCGAGAATCCTACTTCTCCCAGTTGCTAAACAGACACCTCTCCGTGCAGATTATCAGGTTGACAGCTACGTCTAGATTCTGGAGGAATTGTTATTGGTTTTGACTAGCGAGGTTGTTTCCGCGAGTTTATGTCACTTTCCTTCTCGACAACTTTTATGGCGCCCTGAAAACGGCGCTCACAGCAGCCAAACCGCGTCGTAAATTCTTTGAAACGTCACTCCTTCAGAACAACACTCTTTCGGAACTTCACCTTTCTTGATCGTCACCTGCGACGTCACTCCAGCGTAGCATCAAGTGACCCCTCTGTTACAGGAATCGTCGCGTTTGAGCCACTTTCGAGATTCCCAAAAGTGACACCACTGTTTCAGGGTTCGTCGCTTTTGAAGACCGGCGCAGATAGGCGTAGCCGACGGCCAGGATTCGTGCAGCCAGGCGTAGCCGGCGACGGGAGGGATTCGTTCAGGCAGGCGTAGCCGACGGTCAAGATTCGTGCAGCCACGCGAGTAGCCGACGGCCATGATTCCTCCGGCGGCCATGGATCCGGAGATGGTTCGCCTGGCGCAGGAGCAGATGAGCCGCATGTCGCCTCAAGACATTCAGCGCATGCAGCAGGTGAGAATCGAACGTGTTCTTGATTTCAGTCGACTCAGAACACACCTGGCGCAGGAGCAGATGAGCCGCATGTCGCCTCAAGACATTCAGCGCATGCAGCAGGTGAGAATCGAACGTGTTCTTGATTTCAGTCGACTCAGAACACACCTGGACAGGAGCAGATGAGTCGCATGTCGCCTCAAGACATTCAGCGCATGCAGCAGGTGAGAATCGAACGTGTTCTTGATTCAGTCGACTCAGAACACACCTGGCGCAGGAGCAGATGAGCCGCATGTCGCCTCAAGACATTCAGCGCATGCAGCAGGTGAGAATTGAACGTGTTCTTGATTTCAGTCGACTCAGAACACACCTGGCGCAGGAGCAGATGAGCCGCATGTCGCCTCAAGACATTCAGCGCATGCAGCAGGTGAGAATTGAACGTGTTCTTGATTTCAGTCGACTCAGAACACACCTGGACAGGAGCAGATGAGTCGCATGTCGCCTCAAGACATTCAGCGCATGCAGCAGGTCAGAATCTCGTGTGTGTGCTTGCTTTCACTCGACTCAGATCACACTTGTTTCTCGTTATAAGATGACTCGACGCGACGAGTCGGACCTGCGATCAATAGGCAGTTGTATGAATCGCAGGTCGTTTCGAGGCTCCCCCGTGCCTTCTTATTCAGATGATGACACCGGACATGACTCGTGTGGCGAGGCGACAAAGCACGTGCTCGCATGTCTCCCTCCTCACCTCACCTCCTCTCAGTTCCAACCCGTTCTCCCACTCTTCCCCCACCCCTCCCCCACCCCTCCCCCTTCCATCCCCCGTCCTCCCTCGCTCCTCTCTCCTCCTCCACCCCCACCCATGCAGATGATGACCCCGGACATGATACGGCTGGCAACGGAGCAGATGGGGCGCATGTCCCCTTCTTCACATCCTCTCACTCCCAACCCAATCTCGCACTCTTCCCTCCACCCCTCCCTCCCCTCCCATGCAGATGATGACCCCGGACATGATTCGGCTGGCAACGGAGCAGATGGGGCGCATGTCACCAGAGGAGTCTATTGTTGAAGCCAAATGGACCCCTTCCTCCCCAATCCCCTCCATGTGCCCTCACTTCTATGCAGATGATGACCCCGGACATGATTCGGGTGGCAACAGAGCAGATGGGGCGCATGTCACCGGAGGAGTCTATTGTTGAAGCACTTCACAACTAGATCCCTCCCTCCCCTCCATGTGCCCCCTCCCATGCTGCAGATGATGACCCCGGACATGATTCGGGTGGCAACAGAGCAGATGGGGCGCATGTCCCCTTCTTCACATCCTCTCACTTCCAACCCAATCTCGCACTCTTCCCTCCACCCCTCCCTCCACCCCTCCCTCCCCTCCCATGCTGCAGATGATGACCCCGGACATGATTCGGCTGGCCACGGAGCAGATGGGTGAAGCAATCCTTTTCACTCTTTCGTCCCCCTCTCCTCCCTCCTCCTCCACCCCCTCCCATGCAGATGATGATCCCGGACATGATACGGCTGGCCACGGAGCAGATGGGGCGCATGTCGCCAGAGGAGTCTATTGTTGAGGCCAAATGGACCCCTTCCTCCCCAATCCCCTCCATGTGCCCTCACTTCTCTTCAGATGATGACCCCGACATGATTCGGCTGGCCACGGAGCAGATGGGGCGCATGTCGCGAGGGGAGTCTATTGTTGAGGCCAAATAGACCCCTCCCTCCCCAATCCCCTCCATGTGCCCTCACTTCTCTTCAGATGATGACCCCGGACATGATTCGGCTGGCCACGGAGCAGATGGGGCGCATGTCACCGGAGGACATGCGGCGGGCAGCGGAGCAGATGAAGCACCTCAGCCCGCACCAGATCGCCTCCGCCATGGGCACCGCCGGTGCGGGCGGGGGGATCCCAGGGGCAGCAGCAGCGGGAGGAGGGGGAGGGGGGGGAGGAGCAGGACCTGCAGCAGGGGGGTTGCCGGACGTGGCATCGTATATGAGCCAGAGGCAGCAGTACGAGCTGAACGCTGCAACGATGCTCAAGAACGAGGTTAGTGGCTCTCGTATTCTTGCTGTTCCTCTTTGCGTGCTTTGAAAAGCAGCAGCAGGAGGAGTGGGAGGGGGAGTAGGGGCAGGAGGAGCAGCGGGGGGTTTGCCGGATGTGGCATCGTATATGAGCCAGCGGCAGCAGTACGAGCTGAATGCGGCAACGATGCTAATAAACGAGGTTAGTGGCTCTGGATTTTTTCACTGTGCATTTTTGGGTGCTTTGAAAAGCAGCAGCCGGAGGAGGGGGGGGAGGAGGAGTGGTAGAAGCAGCAGGGGGGTTGCCGGATGTGGCGTCGTATATGAGTCAGAGGCAACAGTATGAGCTGAACGCTGCAACTATGCTCAAGAATGAGGTCGGTGTATTTGGATTGGATTTTCATTGGTCTGGCTTTCTTTTCGCGCTCCCCTTACTGCTCTATCGGTTTTCCTCTTCCTCCTGGTCGTTCTCTCTCTTTCACTCTTTCGGTTTCTCCTCCTTCACCACCATCTCTTACTCCTTCACGACCATCTCTTACTCCTTCACCACCATCTCTTACTCCCTCCCACCATCTCTTACTCCTTCACCACCATCTCTTACTCCCTCCCACCTCAAAGCTTTCGCCCCTCGCCCTCACACCCTTTCCACCTTTTTTCTCCCTCCCACCTCAAAGCTTTCGCCCCTCGCCCTCACACCCTTTCCACCTTTTTTCTCCCTCCCACCTCAAAGCTTTCGCCCCTCGCCCTCACACCCTTTCCACCTTTTTTCTCCCTCCCACCTCAAAGCTTTCGCCCCTCGCCCTCACACCCTTTCCACCTTTTTTCTCCCTCCCACCTCAAAGCTTTCGCCCCTCGCCCTCACACCCTTTCCACCTTTTTTCTCCCTCCCACCTCAAAGCTTTCGCCCCTCGCCCTCACACCCTTTCCACCTTTTTTCTCCCTCCCACCTCAAAGCTTTCGCCCCTCGCCCTCACACCCTTTCCACCTTTTTTCTCCCTCCCACCTCAAAGCTTTCGCCCCTCGCCCTCACACCCTTTCCATCTCCCGTCCTCCCTCCCACATGTGTGTGTACGTGCAGGGTAACAAGCTACATGGGATGGGAAAGTACTCGGAAGCTGCAGAGAAGTATAACCGGGTATGTGTGTTTGTGGCACGGAGAGGGTACGTGGAACAGGGTACGTGTGTATGTGTTGTTCAAGGTACTCAGAGGGATGACAGTCCGGTTCAATCGCACGGGGCAGCCTCGCAATGCACGGTGAGGGTACGTGGAACAGGGTACGTGTGTATGTGGCATGGAGTGATGGGGAGAGGGGAAGTGCCAGGAAAGTATGTGTTGTTCAAGGGACTCAGAGGGATGACAGTCCGGTTCAATCGCACGGGGCAGCCTCGCAATGCACTTGTCCCCAGCAGCAGTGTGGCTGTGTCCCATATGAGCAGACAGCCTTGTGTCCTGCCACCTCAGCACCAGCGCCTTTGCCCATGCTGCCTGCTCTTTTACAGGCACGGGGCAGCCTCGCATCGCAATGCACTTGTCCCCAGCAGCAGTGTCGCGGTGTCGTGTGCAGTCAACCTCATATCCTGCCACCTCAACACCAACTCCTTTCCCCTCGCTGCCCTGCTCTCTGCCACCCCCCACGCAATCACCCAGTGCTGTCTCTCCCCTTCTCTCCCCTTCACTCCTCCTCAGGCGCGGGACAATCTAGCCATGCATTCCTCCCGAGCAGCGGTGTCGCTGCGGCGCACGTGTGCAGTCAACCTCATGTCCTGCCACCTCATCACCACCTCCTGTCCCCTTGCTGCCCCACTCTCCCCGTGCTCTCTGCTTGCTCTCCCCTTCTCTCCCCTTCACTCCTTCCCAGGCACGGGACAATCTAGCCATGCACTCGTCCCCAGCAGCGGTGTCGCTGCGGCGCACGTGTGCAGTCAACCTCATATCCTGCCACCTCAAGACCAACTCCTTTCCCCTCGCTGACCTGCTCTCTGCCATCCCCCACGCAATCACCCAGTGCTGTCTCTCTCCTTCTCTCCCCTTCCCTCCTCAGGCGCGGGACAATCTAGCCATGCACTCGTCCCCAGCAGCGGTGTCGCTGCGTCGCACGTGTGCAGTCAACCTCATGTCCTGCCACCTCAAGACCAACGCCTTTGCCCATGCTGTCTCTGTTGGCACTCAGGTGAGTCTCTATTGGCTTTCAGGTGGGTCTCTGTTGACTCTCAGGTGGGTCTCTGTTGACTCTCAGGTGGGTCTCTGTAGGCGCTCAGGTGTGCCTGTGTTGAGCTATTCTAGCAGATGTTAATCAAAATATGACCCTGTAATATCGCGCTCAGGCGCTCACGCGCTCAGGCGCTCAGGTTGTGCCCTCCGGACGCCCCCTTCTGATAAATCCGTTTGATCTTGCATTGTGGCTTTCCCCGCGCTGTTCCGACTTTGTACACCATGCTGTCTTGTTCGTGCCTATTTACCCAGGTAATTTCCGAGGATGGGTCTAACCTCAAGGCGCTGTACAGACGAGGATTGGCTTATAAGGAGCTCGGGCAGCTGAAAGTAAGTGCCCGGTTTTGGGTTTAGGATGAATAACAGAAGGCATTGAACTGCTCTTGTACTGTGTCTATTCGGTTGACATGCCCGACCCAAGTAAAATGGTTCGTGTCAACGGTTTTTTAAAATGCCCTTTGTTTGCTTGTAGTTGTTTGTCTCTTTTCACAAGAAATTTTACTTGCTGTTTACCCCCCATCCACCCACCCTTCCGCTGTGCAGGAGGCAGCAGCTGACCTTTCTACAGCGGCTCAGATTTCACCAGATGATGAAACGCTGGCAGGCGTGCTCAGGTGGGTTGACTTGGCTGTGAGCATTCTTGTTTCTTGAGACCTCTCGAACCACGCCCATCTCATTATGGGAACTGCAAGGCGGTAGCAGACCTGTCCAAAGCGGCTCAGATCTCACCAGATGATGAAACGCTGGCAGGCGTGCTCAGGTGGGCTGGCTGGCTGGCTAAGGGAGACCTCTCATAGCCACTAGTAGCTTTCTAGTTTTGAGGCGCCTCAAAACTAGAGTGGCTGGCTAAGGGAGACCTCTCATAGCCACTAGTAGCTTTCTAGTTTTGAGGCGCCTCAAAACTAGAGTGGCTGGCTAAGGGAGACCTCTCATAGCCACTAGTAGCTTTCTAGTTTTGAGGCGCCTCAAAACTAGAGTGGCTGGCTAAGGGAGACCTCTCATAGCCACTAGTAGCTTTCTAGTTTTGAGGCGCCTCAAAACTAGAGTGGCTGGCTAAGGGAGACCTCTCATAGCCACTAGTAGCTTTCTAGTTTTGAGGCGCCCCAAAACTAGAGTGGCTGGCTAAGGGAGACCTCTCATAGCCACTAGTAGCTTTCTAGTTTTGAGGCGCCTCAAAACTAGAGTGGCTGGCTAAGGGAGACCTCTCATAGCCACTAGTAGCTTTCTAGTTTTGAGGCGCCTCAAAACTAGAGTGGCTGGCTAAGGGAGACCTCTCATAGCCACTAGTAGCTTTCTAGTTTTGAGGCTTGTCGAAGCACACTAGTCGCATTCTTGAGAGACCTCTCGAAGCATGAGTCTCATTCTTGAGACCCATCAAAGCACCAATCCTCAGGTGGGGTGCAGCCTGCAGCAGGCAGGCACAGAGCAATCCTTGATTCCTGATTGCCATCCTTATCAAGCATGCACGCAAGCATGCACTGGGGTGGGGGAGAGGTGGGGGGACAGTCAACTCAAAAGTTATCAAGCATGCACTGGGGGAGAGGTGGGGGAGTGTAAGCTCACAAGTGGGGAAGAGTAGCAAGTTAGATGCCTGCTTTCCTACTCTCCATTTTCTATCTCCTTCCCCCAACCAATCCGCTGTGTCGCCTATTAAATTCTTAATCTCTTCCTCCCCTTCCGTATGCCTCCCTTCCCTTGTATTCATGTATTCAGAGAAACCAAAGCAGCACTGGAAGCTACAAAGAAGAAAGGTATGCTGGTTGGTAGTGCAGATAGTGTGATGTATGTATCCAAACAGTGTAGTTTTGAGGCACCTCAAAACTTGGTAGTGCAGATAGTGTGATGTATGTATCCAAACAGTGCACTTTGTTCCCTTTTGAGACGTCTCAAAAGGTATGCTGGTTGGTAGTGCAGATAGTGTGATGTATGTATCCAAACAGTGCACTTTGTTCCCTGCTCTCCTGCTTTCACCCCTCTCTTTGTCTAGATTCCCGTTTCATAATCCAGGTTCCGAAAATCCCTTCTCCTTCCTGCCCCTCGCCTTCTTCCTCTCCCCTCATGAACCATCATCCCTTCATCTATGCCTTTGAAATCAACTCACAAATTTCCACATAAACCGCGTGTGAGAAGTCTAGTTTTGAGGCGCCTCAAAACTAGACCCCTCATGAACCATCATCCCTCCATCTATGCCTTTGAAGTCAACTCACAAATTTCGCTCTATCTCTCCTGCCGGTGACTGTCTCCATTGCTCCATCTCTCCTGCCGGCGAGGGTCTCTGTGCTGTGCAAGGGGTTTTCAGCGTGGACGTTTCAGTTGCACAGCACAGAGACCCTCGCTCTCATTCTCAATCGCCCATTTCTTTCTCCCGCCGTCTTGCCTCCCTGCCCATCCTTCCCCCCCTGCTGCAGTTTCTCTGGAGGAAATCGATGAGGGCGACGATGCTCCTGCTGCCTCCCTGGCTGGGTCAACTGCTCCCGGTGCAGTAGTTTCCCCATCAGCAGCGCCAGCACCAGCAGCACAACCAGCAGCAGCGGCAGCAGCAGTGGGCAGCAATCCGCTGTTCATCCCTCCCTCGGTGCCCACCATGTCGCCTGATCTCTCCGCCACGGACCCTGCTCTCGTGCGGTGAGTGTTGATTACTGATGCTTTCTCATGCCTCCAGCATCACCACCACAGCAGCACAACCAGCAGCGGCGGCAGCAGCAGTGGGCAGAAATCCGCTGTTCATCCCTCCGTCGGTCCCCACCATTTCTCCTGATCTCTCCGCCACGGACCCTGCTCTTGTGCGGTGAGTTGTGATGGTGCGAAATGGTAGCATGCGGTAACTGTGTTACTGTGGTAGTGTATGGTAATGCATGCATGGTGTCTCCTCATCTCTCCGCCACGGACCCTGCTCTCGTGCGGTGAGTTGTCAATTCGGATGCCTTGCCATGCCCATGCCTTTTGAGTCGACTCAAAAGTCAATTCGGATGCCTTGCCATGCCCATGCCATGGTCCTGCCAGGGGGCCATGGTCAATACATTATCCTCTTATGGACTCGCATCAGTTCCCTCCCCCGTTCTCCCTCCCCATCTCCCCCTCATCCAACTCTCCAGCAACATGTAGGCGATGATGACGAGCAAGGATCCAGCAGCAGTGGCGGCGCTGAGTGGCAACCCCAAGAGCATGGCACTCTCTTCTGCTGGACTCACACACACTCCCTGCCCCCCTCGCCCTCCACTCCCTCGCACCACCCCAGCAACATGCAGGCGATGATGACGAGCATGGATCCAGCAGCAGTGGCGGCGCTGAGTGGCGGCGCCCTATCCCCCGAAATGGCCCGCACTGCAGCACAGCTCGTCGGCTCCATGTCCCCGGAAGACCTCCAAAAGATGATGCGCCTGGCTTCTACTTTCAGCCAAGCGGGGGGCGGGGTTGCTGGGGGGACGGGGGGAGGGGGTGTAGGGGGAACGGGGGGAGCAGGGGGCGCAGGGGGTGCTGGGGGAGTGGAGACAGGAAGGGCAGCAGGTGGTGTTGGCATGAGTGGCGGTGGCAGTGGCAGCAGAGGGAGCAGCAGTGATGATTCTGATCCTGTCCTGACTCCCACAACCGGGAGTGCAAGCAGCAGAAGCATAGCCAATGCTGCTTCTGCTCCTGCTGCTGCTGTTACAGAGACCACGTATGGAATGCCTCCTGGATTTGGGAGAGAAGCTGAGGCAGCAGGGGGAGCAGCAGGAGGAGGGGGGTTCAGTGGAGGAGGGATGGGAGCGGCTGGGATGCCGGCACCAGGTGTCGGCGGGGGATTGGACCCGATGCAGCTGCAGGAACGGCTGTTGAACGACCCTTCCACTGTGAAGGTAAGGCTTGCTTGCTGTGTTGCTGTGTCGTCAAGATAGGACTTTCGAGCCGCCTCTAAAGCTGCAGGAACGGCTGTTGAACGACCCTTCCACTGTAAAGGTAAGGCCAGATTTTGGGCCTCACCCCATCTGTCCCATTTTTTAGGCGCCTCAAACGGGGCCTCACCCCATCTGTCCCATTTTTTAGGCGCCTCAAAAGGGGCCTCACCCCATCTGTCCCATTTTTTAGGCGCCTCAAAAGGGGCCTCACCCCATCTGTCCCATTTTTTAGGCGCCTCAAAAGGGGCCTCACCCCATCTGTCCCATTTTTTAGGCGCCTCAAAAGGGGCCTCACCCCATCCGTCCCATTTTTTAGGCGCCTCAAAAGGGGCCTCACCCCATCTGTCCCATCTGTGCTCCTGTAACCTCACCCCACACACCCCGTGCATTGAGGTGTATTTTGAGGCGCCTTTGAGGCGCATTTTGAGGCGCCTCAAAATACACCCATCTGTCCCATCTGTCCTCCTGTAACCTCACCCCACACACCCCCCTCCAGCTGATGAGCGGCAATGTGCAGCAACTGAGTGCAGAGGACATTGCAGGCATGAGCTCGCGCATGGGGCAATCAACCAGTGCCTCCGCCCAGCCCCTCTCCCCCTGCCGCCCCCTCTGTCGCATCTGCCCTTGTGTAACCTGTCCCCACAACCCCCTCTCTCCTCCAGCTGATGAGCGGCAATGTGCAGCAGCTGAGTGCAGAGGACATCGCAGCCATGAGCTCACGCATGGGACAGAGCATGTCCGTGGAGCAGGCAGAGCAGATGTGTGGATGAATCGTATGCCCCACCCCACCCTTCCCCACCCCACTGCACCGCACCCCACCGCACCCCAACGCACCCCACCCCACCCCACCCCACCCTAACCTACCCCACTCCACCGCACCCATCCCCCCTTCCAGCTGATGAGCGACATGATGCAGCAGCTGAGTGCAGAGGACATTGCAGCCATGAGCTCACGCATGGGACAGAGCATGTCTGTGGAGCAGGCAGAGCAGGCGAAGCGCATGATGCAGGGGCTGGGACCCGAAAGGCTAGCCACTGTGGTAAGATGGGGGGGCTGGTTGCATTGTGTGGCATTGAATCAGCAGTGTATGGTGCACAGAGGAGTGTGTGGGTAGACGGCAGAGCATGTCAGTGGAGCAGGCAGAGCAGGCCAAGCGCATGATGCAGGGGCTGGGACCTGAGTGGCTGGCTACGGTGGTGAGTGGTGGTGTAGGGTGCGTGTCTGACGTTGGAAAGGTAGTAAGTGCGCATGGGGCAGAGCATGTGAGTGGAGCAGGCAGAGCAGGCCAATCGCATGATGCAAGGGCTGGGACCTGATAGGCTGGCCACTGTGGTAAGAGGGGACACTGGTTACGTTGGTGAGAGTTTGCTGGTAAGAGGGAACAGTTTGCTGAGTGTGGCAGTGAATAGGGAGTGTACGGTGCACAGCAGAGCTTATGGGTGGAGCAGATGAAATTTGCCACTGCCTCCCCCCCACCCCGCTAAACCCCTCTCCGCTCCACTTTTTTGTCACATTTGCAGATGAAATTTGCCCAAAAGGCACAAACAGCTGCAGCAAGATTCCAGGAGGCGGTGCGCTGGCTGCTGCAACGGCCAGTGCTTCTGGCCTCCATCATTATCCTCGTTATTGCGGTCTTCATTCATTACATGGGCTGGTTCTCTTGATTTAAAGGCGAAAATTGGTGCACACGATGCATGAACATTGTATGGCACCATCCATCAGGTTCTGAATATCAAAACTCGTGCCATACTTTTCCCTATGATCCTACACTAATTATAGCCTTTGTAACTGAGACTAACCCGTATAAGATTATTACAAGCGAGGGAGTGTCAGACAAGGTGCTCCTTCAGCGAGTTCCATGAAGCAAGAGAACCGTTTTTTATTGCTCGTTATCGTGCTCAACCGTTTTTGTAACCGTTCCAAAATATTTTCCGAGTTCTACTGTTTCGTTTGTCAGGAATTCCTTGGGCAAGTCGAATGGGCAGGGAACTGCATACTCAGTAGCGGCGTTAGTCTTTCACGATCGCGCTTCCCTCGTATTTGCGACCGGCAACGACATCGACGATCGCAGCGATCGTCGACTCCTTCAACGATCGTTCCGTCAACTGAACTGTGACGTCAACCGCGACGAACGCGTCCCTCCATGGCCGCCAGTAAGCCTCTGCGAAGCGCGGCACGATCGAAGTGGCCTTGGCCGCGGATCGCGGGAACTGCGATCCTTGCCGGTGCGACGCTCGGCGTTACTTACAGCGTCGCGGACGATGCGCTGCTCTTCTACCGATGCACCAGGTAACTTCTGAGTCGACTCAAACGACGCAGCAGGTAACTTCTGAGTCGACTCAAACGACGCAGCAGGTAACTTCTGAGTCGACTCAAACGACGCAGCAGGTGACTTCTGTGTCGACTCAAAAGTCACTCCGGTGCGACGCTCGGTGTCACCTACAGCGTCGCCGACAATGCGCTGCTCTTTTACCGATGCAGCAGGTAGCCGTTGGATCGTCTATTGCGTCCTCTTAGCCGCTGGATCGCATTTATATGATTGGTCGTTATATCGCTGATCATCTCCTCTTAACCGTAGAATTTTCAGTATCCTTTCCTAGCCGTAGGATTGTCGATTATCCTCCCGGAAAGCGAGTCATTCGCGGTCGCGAAACGGAACGAGCAGCCCAAGGGAGCTCTTGCTTCACCTTGAGAAAGAAGCAGCGGCTTAAATTCTACGTATCGCGCGTGTCATGTCCTCTTTTTTTATCTCGGTCGTTGTCAGGACAGTGAGGCATTGGAGGTCGCGAATCGGAACGAGCAGCTAAAGGCGGCGATCGGATCGCCGTTGACGCGAGGCCCCTGGTATACCGCCACAATCGGTACCTCCCATGGCGGTCGCGCAGCTTCCGCGACGTTTCCTGTGGAGGGTCCGCAGGGCTCAGCGCTGTTTCACCTTCGCGCGATCAGAACGCACGGTCAGTCCGTCAGTCAATGTGTCAGTCAGTTTCTCAATCAGTCAGTCAGTTCGTCCATCAGTCAGTCACCTCCGTCAGTCCGTCAGTCAGTCAGTCAGTCAGTCAGTCAGTCAGTCAGTTACTTACTCAATCAGTCAGGCAGTCAGTCAGTCACCTCCGTTTGACCGTCAGTCAGTCAGCCAGTCAGTCGGTCGGTAAGTTAGTCAGTCAGTCGGTTAGTCAGCCCGTCCGTCCACCCGTCCGTCCGTCCGTCTGTTGGTCTCTTTGTCTGTCCGTCCCTCCGCCCGTCTATCTCTCACGCCGTCCTATCCTCCCATCTGATCTCATATCAACCCCCTTGCAGGCGGCAGGAGCACCCTCCTTTACAACCTTCAATCAGATGCCAAGTGGCAACTGTTCGTGCTTCAAGCCACTGTTGCCCCCAGAGTAGCGTTGGGAGCTGCTGCTGCTGCTGCTGCTGCTAGAGACTTGAAGGAGAAACAGTCTGCTGTCACCACGCCTGCTGCTTCAGCAGCACCGGAAGGAAAATCCGGATCAAATTTGCCAGCAGCAGCAGGAACAGCCACGTTGAGGGAAGTAGCATTGCCAGCTGAAGCAACAAGACCAGCACAAAGGGCAGCGCCAGGAGCATCACCAGCAACGCCAGCAGCAGCAGCAGCGCCACCAGCAACAACATCAGCAGCACCCCCACCATCAGTAGCAGCAACAGCAGCATCAGCAGTGCCTCAGTCCTTCCGAATCGACCTTCTATACGGCCCTAGTGGTCCTGCTGTGGTGAAGGCTGCCCCAGGGGAGAGTCAAGAGGGAGAGTGCCTGCCTTGCCAAGCACACACACAGAGTTCAAAATATGAGAGCTAGCAGAACCACCACTACGAGCAGCAGCAGCACCACCTTCCGAATCGACCTTCTATACGGGCCATTTGGTCCTGCTGTGGTGAAAGCTACTGGAGAGGAAAGTCAAGAGGGGGGAGCGTTTGCCATGCCTAGCACGCACACAGAGAAGAGAAATGGTGAGCTAGTTAGGGAGCTGTCAGGAAATGTTGTAGTTAGGGATCTTGGAAAATATTGAAGAATAGAAAATAGTTTAGGATATTACGGTAGAAAAGCACAGTAATTTGTTGCACGGAAGCAGGCAGGGAGGTCAAGAGAATTGTTTGCAGACAGTTGATAGAAAGTGGTGGTGGCTTGTCATGTCATGATGTACGTATCAGCAAGATATAGTTAGCTAAATTCGCCAGTCTGTATATCATGGCAAACACTACAGGTAGGTAGGTACATGCTTATACCCAAACCAAACACATGAGCCATACACCTGGGAATGCTTATACCCAAACCAAACACATGAGCCATACACCTGGGAATGCTTATACCCAAACCAAACACATGAGCCATACACCTGGGAATGCTTATACCCAAACCAAACACATGAGCCATACACCTGGGAATGCTTATACCCAAACCAAACACATGAGCCATACACCTGGGAATGCTTATACCCAAACCAAACACATGAGCCATACACCTGGGAATGCTTATACCCAAACCAAACACATGAGCCATACACCTGGGAATGCTTATACCCAAACCAAACACATGAGCCATACACCTGGGAATGCTTATACCCAAACCAAACACATGAGCCATACACCTGGGAATGCTTATACCCAAACCAAACACATGAGCCATACACCTGGGAATGCTTATACCCAAACCAAACACATGAGCCATACACCTGGGAATGCTTATACCCAAACCAAACACATGAGCCATACACCTGGGAATGCTTATACCCAAACCAAACACATGAGCCATACACCTGGGAATGCTTATACCCAAACCAAACACATGAGCCATACACCTGGGAATGCTTATACCCAAACCAAACACATGAGCCATACACCTGGGAATGCTTATACCCAAACCAAACACATGAGCCATACACCTGGGAATGCTTATACCCAAACCAAACACATGAGCCATACACCTGGGAATGCTTATACCCAAACCAAACACATGAGCCATACACCTGGGAATGCTTATACCCAAACCAAACACATGAGCCATACACCTGGGAATGCTTATACCCAAACCAAACACATGAGCCATACACCTGGGAATGCTTATACCCAAACCAAACACATGAGCCATACACCTGGGAATGCTTATACCCAAACCAAACACATGAGCCATACACCTGGGAATGCTTATACCCAAACCAAACACATGAGCCATACACCTGGGAATGCTTATACCCAAACCAAACACATGAGCCATACACCTGGGAATGCTTATACCCAAACCAAACACATGAGCCATACACCTGGGAATGCTTATACCCAAACCAAACACATGAGCCATACACCTGGGAATGCTTATACCCAAACCAAACACATGAGCCATACACCTGGGAATGCTTATACCCAAACCAAACACATGAGCCATACACCTGGGAATGCTTATACCCAAACCAAACACATGAGCCATACACCTGGGAATGCTTATACCCAAACCAAACACATGAGCCATACACCTGGGAATGCTTATACCCAAACCAAACACATGAGCCATACACCTGGGAATGCTTATACCCAAACCAAACACATGAGCCATACACCTGGGAATGCTTATACCCAAACCAAACACATGAGCCATACACCTGGGAATGCTTATACCCAAACCAAACACATGAGCCATACACCTGGGAATGCTTATACCCAAACCAAACACATGAGCCATACACCTGGGAATGCTTATACCCAAACCAAACACATGAGCCATACACCTGGGAATGCTTATACCCAAACCAAACACATGAGCCATACACCTGGGAATGCTTATACCCAAACCAAACACATGAGCCATACACCTGGGAATGCTTATACCCAAACACATGAGACATACACCTGGGAATTCTTATCCCCAACAATATGCATTTACATCCAGTCTGTTAGGCGACTTGACTGATCCCCAACACTCTAGGTGACTTTTGAGTCGACTCAAGGTGACTTTTGAGTCGAGTCTGTGAGGCGACTCAAGGCGACTTTTGAGTCGACTCAAGGTGACTTTTGAGTCGAGTCAAAAGTCATCTCGTCCAGTCTGTGAGGCGACTTGACTGATCCACAACACTCTGCAGAACATGCCAGGAAATATTCGAGATTTAAAATATAATGAATGAAGTTGGTAAGTGTTTTAAGATTCTCCCCCTCTCACATGTGCATGTGTGATGTATCCTCATAAGGCTTCCCCTCTCACCTGCATGTTTCCCACCCACTCCCCTGGGCCAACCACTTCCTCCCAACTTCCCTTTCTCATCTGCACTCGGTGCCCCACCCTCCCCTCCCCCTTCTCACCTGCATCTCTGCGCTCAGCCATGTTCCACCCTGCATTTACCCCTTCCCACCTCCCTCTCACCTTCATGACCCCTTGGGGTTGTCTCGCTGCACTTACCCCCTTCCCACCTCCCCCTCATCTGCTTCTCATATTGCACACCAGGGCCCCTCTCTCCCCCTCTCCTCCTCCCCACTCTCCCCTTCCCCCCTCTCCTCCTCCCCACTCTCCCCTTCCCCCCTCTCCCCTTCCCCCCTCTCCCCTTCCCCCCCTCCCCTTCCCCCCTCTCCCCTTCCCCCCTCTCCCCTTCCCCCGTCTCCCCTTCCCCCCTCTCCCCTGCGCCCCCCTCACTCCCTCTCACCTGCATTTCAGTGCTCAACCACACGTATCGCACGCTAGGATTCTCCCGCCGGATACGGTTACCCATGAACATGACTGCATAGAAGGAGACGAGCTGCATCTCATGCGCCTTGTCGCCCACCTCTCTCTCCCCCTCCTCACCTGCATTTCAGTGCTGAGCCACGCGTATCGCACGCCGGGGTTCTCCCGCCGCACCCGGTTAGCCATGAACATGAAAGCATAGAAGGAGAAGAGCTGCATCTTGCTGCCCTCACCCCCACATCCCTCCCCCTCACCTGCATCTCAGTGCTGAGCCACACATATCGCACACTAGGGTTCTCCCGTCGCACCCGGTTGGCCATGAACATGATGGCATAGAAGGAAAACAGCCGCATCTCATGAGCCTTGTCGCCCTGCCGCACATGCACGCTCACTATCGGACGCGGGATATACGGCTCCGCTCCCACCCCCTCGTAGTTCGCAAGGTAAGGATCCCAGCCATACTGCTCCCCTTCCAAATCTCCTCCAAACCCTCCGCTTCTGCTGCTGCTGCTGTTGCTATCATCAGCAGCAGTGCCATCACCTAAGCTGCAGCCCTGGTACCCCATCTTAGGCCATGCACACGTTTCCAAGCCAAGGCCTCTCTGCCTCTCTGCCTCAGGAGCAGAAGAAGCAGCAGCAGGAGCAGGAGAAGGCGAAGAAGCAGCAGCACGAGTGGGTTGGGGCGTCTCAGAACTAGAGTCGGGGGAAGAGGAGGAGGGGGGGGAGGGGGAAGAGGAGGAGGAAGAGGAGGAGGAGAAGGAAGAGGAGGAGGAGAAGGAAGGCGCAAGTTCCAGCTGACCTTGCTGTTCAAACTCCCTCCATCGCCCAACCTCCTTCCCTTGCTCAACCCCACTCTCCTTCAACCTCCTCCTCCTCACAACCTCCTCTCCACCTCTTTTCTCACCCTCCTGCTCCTCCTCAGAAACCCTACCGCTCCTCCCGAGCCCCGGCCGAACCTCTGGAGGTTCGGCGCTCCTCGTGCCATCCTCCTTCTCCTCCTCAGAAACCCTGTTGCCACTCCCCGGGGAGTCTTCGAGCAGGGTTCGTTGGCCTGCCCGGGAGGACTTTCCCAGCAGCAGGGAGCGTTGGTCTGTCTGAGATGCCACGACCTGGCGGGCCACGTGCATGCCGTACACGTGGTGGCGCTCGCGGTTGATGATGTGGCACAGGTAGGCCGACGGCCACCGCAGCATGAAGCGCGTCGCTTGGGCTCGCCACCAGTGCGCCTGGTGAAGTGGGGGGGAAGGGGAGAAAGGGGGGAGGAGGGTGGGAGAAGGGAGAGAGGTAAGTTGGAGGGTGGGTGGCAAGCATGAAACGTGTCGCTTGGGCTACAGACAGACAATGGGGAGAGCCCATTCTTCCCACGAAGTCCCATCAGTGTGCTAGGTGGAACAAGGGGGAATACAGGCAATGTAGGAACAAGAACGAGAACGAGAAAGAGAACGAGAACGAGAACGAGAAAGAGAACGAGAACGAGAACGAGAACGAGAACGAGAACGAGAACGAGAACGAGAACGAGAACGAGAACGAGAACGAGAACAAGAACAGAAACAGAAACAAGAACAGAAGAACTGTGAGAGAAAGATGTGAAGAACCGAACAAGAACTATGCCCCATCATGCATTTTGGCGAAGGTCAATGTGGGTTGTTGTTCCTGATTCTTGGTCTGCATCTCACAAATCAACCCACCTTCCCTTCCCTTCTGTAGCAGAGCTACTCACCTTCTTGGTTTGTATCTCTCTCCCATCAACCCACCTTGGTGCTTGACCCCATATGCCTCAGCACCTCGTTTGGGAGAGGGCGCAGATGCGAGGGCTGCTCAAATATTCACCTTCCCTTCCCTTCTGTAGCAGAGCTACTCACCTTCTTGGTTTGTATCTCTCTCCCATCAACCCACCTTGGTGCTTGACTTGACCCCATATGCCTCAGCACCTCGTTTGGGAGAGGGCGCAGATGCGAGGGCTGCTCAAATATTCACCTTCCCTTCCCTTCTGTAGCAGAGCTACTCACCTTCTTGGTTTGTATCTCTCTCCCATCAACCCACCTTGGTGCTTGACTTGACCCCATATGCCTCAGCACCTCGTTTGGGAGAGGGCGCAGATGCGAGGGCTGCTCAAATATTCACCTTCCCTTCCCTTCTGTAGCAGAGCTACTCACCTTCTTGGTTTGTATCTCTCTCCCATAACCCACCTTGGTGCTTGACCCCATATGCCTCAGCACTTCGTTTGGGAGAGGGCGCAGATGCGAGGGCTGCTCAAATATTCACCTTCCCTTCCCTTCTGTAGCAGAGCTACTCACCTTCTTGGTTTGTATCTCTCTCCCATCAACCCACCTTGGTGCTTGACCCCATAGGCCTCAGCACCTCGTTTGGGAGAGGGCGCAGATGCGAGGGCTGCTCAAATATTCACCTTCCCTTCCCTTCTGTAGCAGAGCTACTCACCTTCTTGGTTTGTATCTCTCTCCCATCAACCCACCTTGGTGCTTGACCCCATATGCCTCAGCACCTCGTTTGGGAGAGGGCGCAGATGCGAGGGCTGCTCAAATATTCACCTTCCCTTCCCTTCTGTAGCAGAGCTACTCACCTTCTTGGTTTGTATCTCTCTCCCATCAACCCACCTTGGTGCTTGACCCCATATGCCTCAGCACCTCGTTTGGGAGAGGGCGCAGATGCGAGGGCTGCCCAAATATTCACCTTCCCTTCCCTTTTGTAGCAGAGCTACTCACCCTGGCTTTAAGGAACTCGGACTGCCTGCTCATACGCCCTTTGATGCGACTGAGAAGGCACCTCACCTTCTTAAAGTCAGGGTCTCAAGTAGACCCTGGCTTTAAGGAACTCGGACTGCCTGCTCATACGCCTTTTGATGCGACTCAGAAGGCACCTCACCTTTTTAAGGAAATCAGACTGCCAGCTCATACGCCCCATCACCTCGTTGGGCAGAGGTTGCCGAGGAGACGGCTTCTCTGCTCTGCTCAAGTGCGCTCCTCCCCTTGTGGAGCAACACTGCTCACCTTCTTGAGGAAATCAGACTGCCTGCTCATACGCCCCATCACCTCGTTGGGCAGAGGGCTCTTCAGATACGCATTGCCCCAGAGCCTGCAAAATGAAGAGCAGGAGAGGAGGCAACAATTAAGGAGCTTCACAAACCGTCACACTTCACAGGGAGATGGCTCTTCAGATACGCCTTGCCCCACAGCCTGCAGATCAGAGAGGGGAAGTGGGGGAGGCTGCAAAATGAAGAGCAGGGGAGGAGGAGACAATTAAGGATCTTGACAATCCGTCGCACTTCACAGGGAGAGGGCTCGTTAGATATGCGTTGCCGAAGAGGCAGCAGCATGTGGAGTGCAGGGGAGGGAGGAGCGGGGGAGGGAGGAGCGGGGGAGGGAGGAGCGGGGGAGGGAGGAGCGGGGGAGGGAGGAGCAGGGGAGGGAGGAGCGGGGGAGGGAGGAGCGGGGGAGGGAGGAGCGGGGGAGGGAGGAGCGGAGTGCAATTTTGGAGGCGTCTCAAAAATCGTCACAGGGAGAGGGCTGTTCGGTTCGGATATGCGTTGCCGAAGAGGCAGCATGTGGAGTGCAGGGGAGGGAGGAGCGGGGGAGGGAGGAGAGAAGTGCATGTGGAGTGCAGGGGAGGGAGAGGGAGGAGCGGAGTGCAATTTTTGAGGCGCCTCAAAAATCGTCACAGGGAGAGGGCTCGTTAGATATGCGTTGCCCAAGAGGAGGCAGCATGTGGAGTGCAGGGGAGGAAGGAGAGAAGTGCATTGGAGTGGGGACTGGCTGTGTGTCTGTATCTATCTACATTTGCGTTACATGCGTCCACATTTGTGCGAGCACGTGTGTGCATTGGAGTGCGGGCTGGCTGTGTGTCTGTATCTATCCACATTTGCGCGAGCCCACGATTTTTGAGGCGCCTCAAAAGAAGTGCAATCACGGCTGCGCTGCAATCACACACACACACGCAGGCACGCACGCACGCACGCACGAACGCACGCACGCACGCACGCACGTGCAAGCACACACACACACACACACACACACACACACACACACACACACACACACACACACACACACACACACACACACACACACACACACACACACACACACACACACACACACACACACACACACACACACACACACACACACATACACACCAGCTCTTGTTACGAAGCTGGGGTATTTGGGAATGCACCACTCACCCACACATGCGCCACTCACTCGGCTGCCGTGGCATTGAGTTGCGAGATGACCTCCGAGCCTTGATCCACATGTGTGTGCGCGTGTGCGTGTGACTATAATGAAGCTGTGAGACCAAGCTGGGACATGCACACATCACTCACTATGCTGCGAAAGCATTGAGTTGCGAGATGACCTCCGACCCTTGATCCACACCAAACCCCGGCAGCGTTGCGAATATCACGAGCGCATCAGACGCCACACACGCACACACGCACACATGCACACACACACACATGCACACATGCACGCATGCACCACTCACTCACTCTGCTGCTGAAGCATTGAGCTGTGCTATGACCTCCGAGCCTTGATCCACACCAAACCCCGGCAGCGTTGCGAATATTAGGTCCGCAAGGCCTCCAGAAACACCGACATAGGCACACCTGATACAAGGTCCGCAAGGCCTCCAGAAACGAATCTCCCTTGGAGCGTTGAACCGACGCTCGCACGACCCATGTCGCTGGGAGCGCAACGGTCATGAGTAGAAGGAGGATCGCAACGGTCGCGCGACGGCGGAGGAGGAGGGCGACGCGGGTCATGAGAGGGACAGTGGTGACGGTTGTCGTTCTGTGAGCACTGGCAGTGATCGGACCGTTGCGGACCATGCTGGAGTCGATCTGAGAAATCTCAAAAAAGGAGTGGGGTGACGTGGATCATGAGAGGGAGGGTGATCATGATCGTTCTGTGAGCAGTGATCGGACCGCGCGGCTGCGGACCATTCTCGGCTACTCGTAGTACGAATTACGGACGGTGGGAGACGAGAGGCGGCGCAAACGGTCCGACGGACGACGGACGACGGACGACGGACGACGGAAGGCGGAGACGGCCGGAGGACGTTGTGAGTGAGAGCACTCTGACCAACGAGCACGTTCGGCGCCGTGAGGCCCGGCGCAGCGCGAACCACCGTCGCACGGACCAACGGGTTAGCGACAACTTCTCGACGCTGCTCGTTTGTCTGATGTACAAGAAAACGCTCCTGGCAAGACTGAGCTGAGCGTCTGTGGAACGATGTTCCTTCCGGATCTTGCACGTTCTTGCACGCGACGACGATGCGTCGTAACGTAACAAACCCAACCCACGACCTAAAACGCGGGAAAATTAAAATTTGCGTAAAAGTAAACGTGGAGAGTCTGATTTGCCCGAAGCGAATCTGCTGATGCCAACGTAGTTTACTCGAATGGTGCTCCCCATGCTACAGCATTCCCAGCAGTCATTTGATGGAATCCGTCTCTGCTCTGTCAAGATATCACGACAAGGTGGTGGTGGTGGCGAGTAGGGTGCGAAACAGCGGGCACTCTTGCGCATGTTACTCGGGGCTTGCGAAACCACTCTTGCGACATTCGTCACGAGGACTTTCGCATCCAGCGAAAACTTGGACCTAGACGAGGCTACACGAAATTTCTACGAAGAATTTACCATCGTTGCCGTGCCTCACGAAGGTTCGCTAAACAGTACAGTGAACCAGGACAGCCCCAAGCTTGGCTGATGGCCAAATCCGCTTGACTCTGCATGGATCAGCTGCATCCATTCTCATTCCCGTTATTACTGAAACTGGAACAACGAGGTTTCACAATCGAAAATATAATATTTAACGATGTACACAGCGCTATTTCTTCGTGATTCCATGCTCTAACTGGACTAGGCCTTCACGAAGGCAAAATCCACACCATTGATTTCCTTAGGGCGTGTGCACTAAAGTTCGAAAGTGTTCGAATTTTGGTGGTAACCCTTTTTCGAGAGCGTCGCGAAACAACCTCGCCTTTGCCTCAGAATGGGTTGACACTTTGCCGTGCGCATTTTGGCTTCTGCCCTAAAATATTACAGTTCGAACAAAGCACAATCTCACGAATTCGAACTTGCGCAAATGCGTCGCCGTCAATTAATTCAGGTTGCGACTCATGCGACTGAGTTTCCCGCCAGGCGGGAATGATGTCGATTTGCGGACGCAGCTCCTGAATGACCTTTTCTCGTTTTTCTGCGTCGCATTCGGCACTGTAGAGAATGTCGTGGTGCGCTATGATTGGAATGTTGAACTGGGTTATATTTGAGAGTCACTTTGTGCTAGCCCTTTTTTCACGCATTTCACGCCAGCAGCGACATGCTCAAACAAGCGTGTTCGGATAACGCAGATCCCGATTGTTCGACTGCTGAGTTCGAATATTTGCTTACGGTGACTTAGTGCACACGCCCTTAGATTTCATCAGGAATCTTTCCGCACCGTCTCCGCAGCTTTTCAGGTCCATGAAGAGCCATTGCGAGGCAAATGCCGAAGGTTCCGGTTCCGTCGCTTCGGGAGCAGCAAAAAGGTCGTCCTTAGCTCCAGCAACAACGGCGACAGCGGAACCAGTCTCACGTGTAGCGCGAACTTGCCGATCTAGCGTGGCTCCCGTCCTGCTGACGTGTCTTTCCGCGCTACTAATTATCGCCTTAGCGGTAGCCGGATGGGTGGCGCCTCCGGGAACCCTCAGCGCACTCACTTGGGGGAGCGGGGTGGGAACGGGGGAATCGATCATGGTAGTGGAGGAAAACGGAGATCGGGGGGACAGGACGGGGAAGGGGAAGGGGGAGGGGAAGGGGGAGGGGAAGGGGGAGGGAAAGGGGGAGGGAAAGGGGGAAAGGGAAGGGGAGAGGGAGCCTGTGGAGAGGGAGTGTTCAATGACGTACATGTGGCCTGATTACATTCCCATTCCAATGCACAACCGGACTCTGGAGCAACAGGGACTGAATTCAAGTGAGTACACCTCAAACGGATCTGCCTTCCCTGAGATGAGCACATCTGGCATGGGGAAGGGGAAGGCCAGCTGTGCTCATCCCATAGATAGCCTAAAGAGATTGAATAACAGCCTCCCTGTGCTCCTCATTCCGCCCTGCGCATCCTTCCCAACTTGTCCCTCACTAATCCAGACCCTTTGTACAGCTTGTTCTTATATCGAGAGGGCCACGCCTGGGGAGGCAGCAGCAGTGAGGAGGAGGTGAAGAGGGGTCTCTGTGGGACTGTGCCTGTCCTCTATATCCCGGGAAACGCGGGCTGCTACAAGCAGGTAACGCTTTCAACCGGTTCTGTAGTTCTGGTTCTGATATCAATGCTCCTTGTCTTGCTCAGTCGCTTGCGTTTTTTGTTACCATTTTGGTGCACGTGCGTTCCCTGGCGTCTGTCTCCCACCACATTTACCACGCCTCCAATGCTCAACACGAATTAAGGGACATTCCTCCCTGCTTCCCCTTTTTCACTTTACCTGTCCCCTCTTCTCCCCATCATTCATTCAGGTGCGTTCCCTGGCGTCTGTCTCTCACCACATCTACCACGCCTCTCATGCTCAACACGAATCAAGGGACAGCCCTCCCTGCTTCACCTTTTTCCTGTCCCCTCTTCTCCCAATCATTCATTCAGGTGCGTTCCCTGGCGTCTGTCTCTCACCACATCTACTACGCCTCTCATGCTCAACACGAATCAAGGGACAGCCCTCCCTGCTTCACCTTTTTCCTGTCCCCTCTTCTCCCAATCATTCATTCAGGTGCGTTCCCTGGCGTCTGTCTCTCACCACATCTACTACGCCTCTCATGCTCAACACGAATCAAGGGACAGCCCTCCCTGCTTCGCCTGTGGAGAAGAGCCAGACACAGCAACTCTGGCAGCAGCAGCAGACTCAGATGGAAGGAAAGAGGCAGGGGAAACGAGAGGAGAAGGTGCCACCGCAGCAGCAGCAGGACCAGGAGAAGGAGGGGGGAATGTAATAGGATCAAGGAATGGAGGGCAGGGATCTGCGGCGTATCCATCTCGCCTGGCGTGGTTCTCGGTGGATCTGAGGGAGCACCTGACTGCCCTTGACAGCGCTCTGCTTCTCCGGCAGTCAGCCTTCGTTGCTGCTGCTGTCAAAGAGGTGGGGTGCTCAAGCATGTATGCATGTGTGCGCGTGCTCTGCACATGTGCGTGGGTATCAGCAGCATACCCATCTCGCCTGGCGTGGTTCTCGGTGGATCTGAGGGAGCACCTGACTGCCCTTGACAGTGCCCTGCTGCTCAAACAGGCCGCATTCGTTGCTGCTGCTGTCAATGAGGTGGGTGCCGCATTGCATGTGGGTGTGCGTGTGCACGTGTGTGTGTGTACATCATGTGCACGCGTGTGGTTTTGTACATGTGTGCACCTATGTGAGCACCTCCCTCCTCTCCTTGGCCCCCTCCCTCCCTGCCTCCCTCCCTCCCTCCCTCCCTCCCTCCCTCCCTCCCTCCCTCCCTCCCTCCCTCCCTCCCTCCCTCCCTCCCTCCCTCCCTCCCTCCCTCCCTCCCTCCTCCCTCCCTCTCTCCCTCCCTCCCCCCATCCCTCCCTCCCTCCCTCCCTCCCTCCCTCCCTCCCTCCCTCCCTCCCTCCCTCCCTCCCTCCCTCCCTCCCTCCCTCCCTCCCTCCCTCCCTCCCTCCCTCCCTCCCTCCCTCCCTCCCTCCCTCCCTCCCACCCCGTGTTCTCTCAGATCCTATCGCTCTACAGGTCCTCATGTGCTTCCATGCCCGCCCGCCCGTCCTCTGTGCTGCTAGTGGGGCACTCTATGGGGGGGATAGTCGCCCGCCTGGCCCACAGGAGGCTGCAAGGGGGAGGAGATGCGAAAGAAGGAGAGAAAATGGAGGGGGAGGGAGAGGTGAAGGAGTGTGCGTGGAAGGGGGAGGCGCGAGAAGGAGGAGGAGGGCAGGAGGAGCAAGAGAGGGGGCAATGCACGCGGGACGGACCGCAACAGCCAGTGCAGACCATAATCACCATCGCCACACCACACAGGTAGGTCGAATCTCTTAGAAAAAATGCATTCAGTGCTACTCTATATAATGCACTTCTGAGCATGCAGCTTTGTAAACCCAGAGGACCAATGTTGCTTCACTTTGCGCCACCACCCAGCCACTACTCACCTTCCTCCCTTCTCCTCATTTCCCTCGCTGTTTCTGACCCTTCCCTGCCCTTCCTGCGTTCTGATCCCCCTTTCCCCACTTTATCTCCCACTTTCTCCCGTTTCTCCCTTTTCTCCGTTTTCTCCCCATTTTCTCCCGTTGCCCCCGTTCACCCCACTTTCCCCCGTCTACCCCAGCCTCTTCCCTCTCCCCCTGCAGCCATCCATGCTCGCGCTTTACCACTCCCTCACCCGCCACCCTTCCCAGCTTTTGAGTCGACTCAAAAGCAGATTTTCTCCCGTTTTCCCCGTTCACCCCACTTTCCCCCGTCTACCCCAGCCTCTTCCCTCCCCCCCTGCAGCCATCCATGCTCGCGCTTTACCACTCCCTCACCCGCCACCCTTCCCAGCTTTTGAGTCGACTCAAAAGCAGATTTTCTCCCGTTTTCCCCCGTTCACCCCACTTTCCCCCGTCTACCCCAGCCTCTTCCCTCTCCCCTTGCAGCCATCCATGCTCGCGCTTTACCACTCCCTCACCCGCCACCCTTCCCAGCACTCTCCCTCCTCCCCACTTCTGCTCGCATCGCTTGCTGCTGGCCGGAGTGACTGGCAGGTGAGTGAAATTGGCCTGGCGCCACGTGTCAACTTACCATCCCACACATATGTCAGATGTGCAGATATATGAGACACATATTCACCCAATGCTGATTTGAGACGTCTCAAAAATCAGATGTGCAGATATAAGAGACACATATGCACCCAACGCTCTCCCAAATGGTCCTTTGCGTTAATCAGCTCTCTCCCTCTCTTTTCCTCTGCAGTCGCCTCTCTCCTTCCTTGATTCTTTCACACTCTCTTGTTACTTTACTCCGCCCCCCATTCCTCCCCCCACCCACCCTCCATTTCCTCTCTTATTTCCCCTTTGTCCTCCCCCTCTCCCCCTTCCGCCACCCTCCTCTTCCCCCTTCCCTCCAGGTCCGCTCATGGGTGGCAGCAGTGGCGCCATCCCCAGATACCACCTTCCTGCACTTCACATTCAGCACATCCCCTCACACCCCCTCACATCCCCTCACATCCCCTCACACCCCCTCACACCCCCTCACATCCCCTCACATCCCCTCACACCCCCCACACCCCCTCACATCCCCTCAAATCCCCACCGTCTCTTGTGATAGTTCCACCACCCCTGCCTGCTCCCTCTCATTCATTGTTTCTTTCACTCTCTCTCGTTACTTCACGCCACCACTCACCCACTGTCCTTCCCCTCCTCTTCATCTTCTTCCAGGTCCGTTCATGGGCGGCAGCAGTACCCCCGTCCCCAGATACCACCTCCCTGCACCTCCCATTCAGCACATCCCCTCAACTCTGCTCTTATTCCCCTTCATCTTCCTCCTTCCCCCTTTCCTTTCACCCTCCTCCCCCGTCCCTCCAGGTGCGCTCATGGGCGGCAGCAGTACCCCCGTCCCCAGATACAACCTCCCTGCACCTCCCATTCAGCACCTCCCCTCACGTCTGCTCTTATTTCCCCTTTGTCCTCCCCCTATCCCCACTTTCCGCCACCCTCCTCCCCCGTCCCTCCAGGTCCGTTCATGGGCGGCAGCAGTACCACCGTCCCCAGATACCACCTCCCTGCACCTCTCGTTCAGCACAGCCCCTCACGTGTGGCTCTCAGCAGGGCACGAGCAGGCAGTGTGGTGCAACCAGCCTGTGGCTCAGGTGAGCGGTGGTATACGGTGACAGGTGGTGGTATGTGATAGTATGCAGTGGTTTGTGGTGATATGTGGCGTCAATGCTAGTTCGTTCTGTGCTGCTGGCACCTCCCACTCAGCACAGCCCCCCACGTGTGGCTCTCAGCAGGGCACGAGCAGGCAGTGTGGTGCAACCAGCCTGTGGCTCAGGTGAGCGGTGGTACGCGGTGTGATGCGGTGCTCTGCGGTGGTCTGTGGTGGTATGTGGTGGCAGTGCTTGGATGTACTGTGCTGTGCTGTCAGCACATCTCCTCACACGTGTGCCTCTCAGCAGGGCACAAGCAGGCCGTGTGGTGCAGCCAGCCCGTGGCTCAGGTGGGTGAATGTCGGTGAGGGTGGGTGGGGGTATGTCACACACACATCAACAGCCCTTGTAGTTTCCCATCTCGACTCTCTTCAACCCAATCCCTTTCCCACGCCTTTTCTGTCGTGTTCCCGTCTCTAGCTCTCCCATGCCCTTCTAATACTGGTCAACCCGCACACATCACTGCCCTTCTCAGCCCCACTTTTGAGGCACCTCAAAAATCAGCTCTCCCATCCCATGCCCTTCTAACACCGGTCAACCCGCACACATCACTGCCCTTCTCAGCCCCATCCAACTCCCCACTCTTACCACTCTCCCCACTCTTCCTTCCCCTTTTTTCCCTCCCCTTTCACACTACCCGACCTCAGCTGTCTCATGCCCTCCTAGCCCTGGTCAACCCACACACATCCCAGCCATTCTCCTCCCCCAACACGCGCCGTGCAATCATCTCCTGCCACCTGTCCGCCTCACCTCTCCTCCTCCGGCCCTTGCTGCTTGGATCGCCAACTGTTGGAGCTTCACCGAATGAGCCTAGCTTACAACAGACAGAACAGCAGAATCAGCAGCAACAGCAGCAGCAGCCGCAGAAGAAGCAGAATCCGCAGAAGCAAGGGCAACGGAGTGATGGGCACACAGCAGTGCAGCTGAATTCAGCCCCATTCGTGCACAAATGGGCTTCCCACGCCCAGCAATCACACTCCTTCCACAACAACCTGCCTGTGAGCTGACATGCTTGTTCGGGGTACAGGTATGAGAATTCTTGTGGTGACGAGCACATACATACAGCAGTGCAGCTGAATTCAGCTCCATTCGTGCACACATGGGCTTCACACGCCTTTGACTCACTCTCCTTCCACATCAACCTGCCTGTGAGCTGACATGCTTTGCTTGTTGGGTTTTGGGGTAGAGGTATAGAAATTCTTGTCTCATTCAGAGCATTCTACCTTCATGCAAAGTTCCACTTTCCCATCTTCCCCTCCTCACCTACCCCTCCCGCGTCCCTTCCCTCCCTAACTCTCTCTTCCCCTGTCCAATCACATCAGAATGAACCAATATAACCATCCATTAATCGCAGCTCCAGTGCTCTGGTTCTTGTATTGAATGTGCTTTTGAGGCATTGTAAAAACTGGTTCCCTTTCACCTGTTCACTCATTATTTTCCCACCCCGCCCCCCAACCACAACCCCCTCCCTCCCACCCCACCACCTCCACCAAACCGTGAACCCCCCAAAACGCTACCGCGCAGATTGAAGCACTATCACTCAACCCAGCAGGCAGCAGCAGCAGGGCCCTCGTTCTTCTATCGAATGTTCTTCCATGCGATGGCTTGAATCTCACCCTCGTTATAAGCACACAGCAGGGGTATGTGGAGGAGAGGCATGAAGAGGGTACCCTCGATAGAAGAAAACAGGAGGAGAGGAGACAGGGAGATGATAAGAAGGGGAAAGGGGAGGAAGTGGGAGAGGGAGAGGATGACGTGTCGTCCTATGATTTGACACGGTTGCTCGTGCCTCTGCCTCCACCACCCAGAAGCAATTCCTTCGTAAGTGCCTTTCAGTGCATCATCCCGCCCCGTGTCGTCAAATACTGAGGGAAAAAAAGAAGACACTTAGTGAAATCTTCAGTTTCTAAGACGTGCTTTGTGACACTCTGCTCTTCCTCCCTTTCCTCCCTCCCAGTCCCTCCCAGTATCACCGGCATCACAGCAGGTCACAGGGCAGGTGCCCCAGCCGTCCCCTCTTGCCCTGCTCATGCTGCCTCTGCCCTCGCCTCCCCTTGCTCCCTTTGGCTCCCCTTGCTTCCCCTCGCCTCTCCTTGCCTATTTCCCTCCCAGTCCCTGCCAGTATCACCGGCATCACAGCAGGTCACAGGACAGGTGCCCCAGCCGTCCCCTCTTGCTCTGCTCATGCTGCCTCTGGAGATAGCAGTTGGGGGTGGTGGTGGTGTGAGAAAGGCCACTTTGCGCGTGAATATCAACACCAACACCAAGGTGCGGAGTTCTCTATAAGTACTTCTTTAAGAAACCGATGCACAGGTGATGCTCATGTGATGCACAGCCGTCCCCTCTTGCTCTGCTCATGCTGCCTCTGGAGATAGCAGTTGGGGGTGGTGGTGGTGTGAGTGAGAAAGGCCACACTGCGCGTGAATATCAACACCAACACCAAGGTGCGGAGTTCAATTCCCAGCGTAAACACCAGCGTACCCAAACTTTGAGACGCCTCCATGTCCCTCTTGTTTCACGGCGCAAGCCTTCTCCCCCTCCCCACTCCACGTCTTTGGGAGCAATCACAAGAACGAGCGACCATGAGGCGCCTAAGAAGAACGAGCAATCGCAACCTCCCATCTCTTTTTCCTTCTCTCCTTCCTCCATCCATGTTCCTCTTGTTTCACAGGGCAAGCCTCGCCCCCCTCTGCACTTCCTCTCTGTGGAGCTGGCACCACTCAATCTCCACGCTCCACTCACTCCCTCCTTCTCTTCCTCCTCCTCCTCCTCCTCCTCCTCCTCCTCCTCCTCCTCCTCCTCCTCCGCCTCCTCCTCCTCCTCCTCCTCCTCCTCCTCCTCCTCCTCCACCACCACCTCCTCTCCATCAAGGTCTCTCTCCCTGTTATCCTTGCTCCTCTCGATCTTTCAGCCTCTACGTCTGGTAGGTAGACCAAGGCTCAGAGTAAGCCTGTGTTCACTGAGGTAGACCATCCGCCTTCATACCTTGTCTCGCCGCTGATGCTCTCCTGGCATGCAGCACGTGTCTTCACAGGACAGGTGAGTAATTTCACTTTAAAACTCACGCATTCTGATGTTAATGCTCTACCTGTGTGCAGCCACTGTCGTCAATCCTGGTTGACCCAAAGAAGCAGCAGCAGCAGCGGCAGCAGCAGCTTCTGTCGGTCTTCTCGCTCCCACCTGCAGCTGCTCATTTCTCTCTGCACCTCCGCCTGCTGACCTCTCAACCTCAAACCACCTCCAGCCTTTCTCCCGGTACGTTCCTCCACTTTTGGGACGTCTCCAGTATTGATTTTTGAGATTTGAACCTGCTAATGGGAATCCCATCATTAGCGGCTGGATGGGTGCCCTTAGACGGGAGTCTTTTCTAACCCCATCCCCTCTCCCCGATTCCATCCCCTCTCCCCGATTCCATCCCCTCTCCCCGATTCCATCCCCTCTCCCCGATTCCATCCCCTCTCCCCGATTCCATCCCCTCTCCCCGATTCCATCCCCTCTCCCCGATTCCATCCCCTCTCCCCGATTCCATCCGCTCTCCCCGATTCCATCCCCTCTCCCCGATTCCATCCCCTCTCCCCGATTCCATCCCCTCTCCCCGATTCCATCCCCTCTCCCCGATTCCATCCCCTCTCCCCGATTCCATCCCCTCTCCCCGATTCCATCCCCTCTCCCCGATTCCATCCCCTCTCCCGATTCCATCCCCTCTCCCCGATTCCATCCCCTCTCCCCGATTCCATCCCCTCTCCCCGATTCCATCCCCTCTCCCCGATTCCATCCCCTCTCCCCGATTCCATCCCCTCTCCCCGATTCCATCCCCTCTCCCCGATTCCATCCCCTCTCCCCGATTCCATCCCTTCTCCCCGATTCCATCCCCTCTCCCCGATTCCATCCCTTCTCCCCGATTCCATCCCCTCTCCCCGATTCCATCCCCTCTCCCCGACTCGATCCCCTCTCCCGCATTCCATCCCCTCTCCCCCATTCCACCCCACTCTCCCCGATTCCATCCCCTCTCCCCGGTTCCATCCCCTCTCTCCGATTCTATCCCCTCTCCCCGATTCCATCCCCTCTCCCCGATTCCATCCCCTCTCCCCCATTCCATCCCCTCTCCCCCATTCCATCCCCTCTCCCCCATTCCACCCCCTCTCCCCCATTCCATCCCCTCTCCCCCATTCCATTCCCTCTCCCCCATTCCACCCCCCTTTCCCCCATTCCACCCCCTTTCCCCCCATCCCCAGGAGCGCAGCCGAATCACACCAGGTGCCACCCTGCTGTTGCTACCCTGACATCTGCTCACACTGCTGTTACAGCAGCATCTGAGGCTGCAGCAGCCAGTGGTGGCGACCAGAATAGCTGCACAAGCCGTGAAGGCGGCTATAAGATTCCTCTGAGAGAAGAAGTGACTACCCACGGTGCAGGGAGCTATAAGATCCTCTCCACTCAGACATTCCACCACTCCACAGTCCTTGAATTTGACTCTCCTCCACCACACCTCACTCGCCCCTCCTGCCACCACTGCCACTATCATCACAATTGCGCTCTTTCTCAGCACTACAATCACCACAGCAGTTGCCACCACTGCCACTGCCGCTCACACAAGAGCGAGCAGGGAGGTGGGGGAGCAGAGGGACGCAGCAGCTCTTGGTGTGAGAGCGATGGTTCAGAGGAGGAGGTTATGCATCGGGGCGGAGAGGACGAGCTCCCCCACCTCCCTCCTCGCTCAGAGGAGGTCATGCATCGAGGCGGAAAGGACGAGCTCTTTTTGATGCTGCTGGTAAGGCTTTTGAGGCATGCATGCATGCGTGTAAACCCCACCTTCCCGCACCCCCTAACTCCCTCCAGCCCTCCTCCCCCACCCCCCAAAACACACTCCCATTGCTCTCCCTATTTCCTTGCCAGCCTGCATCAATAATGACGCTCAATCCATGCTCTCCCTCATCCACTCCCTCCCATACCCCGTCCTTCCCACCCTCCTCCCCCCCATTAAAACATCCCACCTATCTCTCTCTTTTTTCTTGCCAGCCTGCATCAGTAATGACGCTCAATCCATGCTCTCCCTCATCCACTCCCTCCCATACCCCGTCCTTCCCACCCTCCTCCCCCCCAGTAAAACATCCCACCTATCTCTCTCTTTTTTCTTGCAAGCCTGCATCAATAATGACGCTCAATCCATGCTCTCCCTCATCCACTCCCTCTCTCAGATTCTCATAACCCTCGCTCCCTCACTCACCATAGTTTTGAGGGGTTAGGCGTTTTGAAACGCCTCCTCCCTCCCTCATTGTCTCAGTGCCCCACTCCTCACACTCACCCCTTCCACTCCCTTCTCCTCCTGCCCTCCCTCCTTCCAGGCGGATCCCTCCTGTCCCTCCTCCCTCCTCATCTCCGTTGATCTTCCACGCTCCCTCACCTCCCTCTGCCTTCCTGCCTTGCTCATTGCCTTTAGTTCCCACTCCTTCTGTGCACCCCCATCCCCTCCCTCCAGGCGGATCCATCCTGCCCCTCCTCCCTCCTCATCTCTGTTGACCTTCCTCGCTCCCTCACCTCCCTCCTCCTCTCCTCCCTCCCTCTCATCATCGGCTCGGCACTCTCCCTCGCTCTCTGCACCTCCTCCTACCTCTTCTCTCACTCATTCACCCACTCCTCTCCCTCTCTCCACACTCTCCCTTCCCTCCTCTCTCTCATCGCCTCTTCCCCCTGGCCCTCTTTTTCTAGCCCTGTCTCACGCTCCCTCCTCTCCTCAATCATCATCTTCTCTCTCCTACACTCCCTCTCTCACTCCTCCCACTCCTCGCTCCCCTTCTCTCACTCACACCATCTAGAATCACCCCACACACAAGAATCATTTCCCACAGTCCAGCCCCAGTCTGCTTCCTCCTCCTCCTCCTCCTCTCACCCGCTCCCTCTCTACCACTCGCTCCTCTCTCCTCTCCTCCTCTCCTTCCCCTCCCTTCCAAGACTCTCTCCCACACTCACCTCATTCCTTCACACTCTTAACTCGTTCCTCCAAAACCAACCACACCATGCCACCTCATTCTTACCTCTCCTTGCATCAGCGCGATGCATGCTGAGCTGTATTTTCTCCACTCTGACATCAGCAAGCGTGTCACTCTTTGTATCAGCCGTGATTGCATCCACTGCTCTCTCTTTCCTTGTCGCTTTGCTAAAAGTGACTCTTAGCACCATCTCGTGTTGCGCCGGCTCCCGCTCTGGTCTACAGACAAATAAAGGCACAAACACTCGCACGGTACGTTACAATGACCTGTTTCATGCCCACAACTCTTGGATTTTTTTTTTTCTCGACCGCTCCTGCATCGTCTCAAATCCATGCTTGAAATATTAATCAGACTAGTAGTTATATCAATCCACATTCTTTCCCAGTCTATCCTTAGGTGATTTTCCAATGCCTTCCTTTCCCGTATTTTCAACTGGCAGCAACAGGGATATTGGCCTGCTCTCCTCTTCCTCTTCCTGCTCCTTCCGTTTGCCCTCGTCTCCCCATTCCTCGCTCTTCTCATCGCTGCTGCTGCTCAAATCGCACGGGCATCTCAAGCCAAGTCAAGGTGAGCTGACTTAAGAGTCGACTCAAAACTCGTCTCCCCATTCCTCGCCCTCCTCCTCTCTGCTGCTGCTCAAATCGCACGGGCATCTCAAGCCAAGTCAAGGTGAGATGGATGAAGGCAGGTGGACTTTTGTTTCCTGTTTGTGTGCTCTTTGTTTAACACTCAAGTCTACTTCCATCGCATGCACATGAAAATCGGATTGTTCTCCCTTTATGATCGTGCCTGCTCGTCGGATCAGCTTCCCCCTTCCACTATTGTTGTGGCTTTTGAGTCGACTCAATACTCACTTCGTGCCTGCTTGTCGGATCAGCTTCCCCCTTCCACTGTTGTTGTGGCTTTTGAGTCGACTCAATAGTCACTTCTTGCCTGCTGGTCGGATCAGCTTCCCCATCCATTATCGTTGCCTGCTGTTTTCCACCAATCACAGGTCCTCTCGCTCAGTGGTATCAGAGCTCCTACTGGCCGATGCTCTCTTGCTGCTTGTCACTGCCCTCTTCCACCTGCCTCCCTTTATTGCTCATCTGCATGCCAAGGTCAGAGCGCGCGCGCGCGCACGCACACACACACACACACACACACACACAAACACAAACACACACACACACACACACACACACACACACACACACGCACGCACGCACACACACACGCACGCACGCGCATGCACACAACTTTTCCGGGGCCACGCTCTTTAAACAGCCTCCCTTCATCGCTCAACTACACACCAAGGTCAGTTCCCCCCTCCCCACACACACGCACCCGCACATGCATGTATGCATACGTGCGAGTGAGTAAGTGAGAGTACGAGTGTGCACATGCTCTTGTAAGTGCCTGTACATGTGCATAAGTTTGTTTGTGTGCACCCTGTTCTCCTCTCCTTCCCACCTTCCTTACCTCTCCGCTCTCCTCTCCGTCTACCTCTTCTTGCCCATCCGGACACCAATGCTCATGGCTCCTTTAGAAGTCATTCTACTCTCCATACCATCACTTCTGCCTATACTCACATCACCGCCCTCTTCCTTCCTCCTGCCCCTATCCCATGCAGGCTTCAATATCCATGGCCCCTTTAGAAGACATCCTGCCCTCCGTAGCATCACTTCTGCTTTTAGTCACACCGCCGCCCTGCTCCTCCCAGTACTCCCCCACAGTTCATCACAAGACAATTTCACTGCACACACTGGTGGTTTTTGCCTGCTATATCTGTGGCGTGGCGTCGTTTGTCTGTTCCCTGTACCTAGTTCCGGCTTTTTCTCTCCATGCAGTGGCACTAGTTGCCATCTTGAGATTCGTTCTGTGCCTCTCCCATGTGTAAAACAAGGTGCGGTAGTGGAAATGGTTCCCAGTTCCTACTGCTGTGAACTGGGAACTGATCACCCCAGCTTTTATATACGGTTCCTGGAAGTGTGCTTGTGAAAGGATTATGTTTTACTCTATAATGAACAGCCATGTAAATTTGACAAAGGGAAAACAGGTGCCATGTCTGCAGAGGCGAAAGCACGAGCAGAGCAGATGAGGTTCAAAATAGTCAGGAGGGAGAGGAGAAGCGTGACGAGGGGATGAAAAACTGTTTGATTTGGGGAAAATTATCACGCTACATATCAGAATACATAGCTTTTCTCTACCACATAAACCATTGAATGAGACTACACTTCCAACATCCTTGTCTCCTTATCATACCAGGTACTCATGCTTGTCAATTTACACTTCTTTACTCCTCATCCTCCTCCACTTCCTCCTCTTCCTCTGCCTCCCCGTCCTCTACCGATTCCTCATCCACCACGCCATAATCGCCCGAGATTGGGGAATCAAGGCCGTTCTCTGCTGCAACTTCCATCCCCCCTCGAGAACCCTCTATTGAATATCAGAATACATCCTCTACCACATAATCCACACTGACCAAGGCTACCCTTCCTCCACTTCCCATCCATAACTGCTTTATTCCTCCCCTTCCTCCTCCCCTTCCTCCTCTCCTTCCTCCTCCTCGTCCTCCTCCCCCTCCTCCTCGTCCTCCTCGTCATCCTCCTCATCCGCCTCCTCCTCGACTGACTCCTCATCCACGTCATACTCCGCAGAGACGGGAGAGTCAAGGCTATCCTCTGCTGCCACCTCCAGCCCCTCTCGAGAACCGTCCCCCCTGTTTTGCACCGCCGGCCAGTTGTGCGCAATGTATGCCATATCGCTGCACTTTTTGAGACCCAGCTTCTTCCGCCGGCTAGTGCGTACCGAATCCCACTCAGTCCAGTTCCAATCGCAAGTCGCTGCAGACACAGGCTGAGAGAGAAGTCGGCATGCAAGGCCCGTGATCACCGGGTGCTCAGACCCGTGATTGGTCCACCATTGCACCATGCCCAGCTTCCCTTCCTTCACCGCATCCCGCTCAGCCCGTGCGTCACACGAGTGGAATCTACCACGTATCGAATCCCCGAATGCCGAAAAACCGTCCACCAGGGCCGAATAAGACCTTTCCTCCACTCGTTGACTAGCGAAGTTAAAAATACTGTTCAGCAGGACCGAAAGTTTCCAGTTTCGCGCAAGGAATTTGCAATGGCTGTCGATGTAGGCCTTGAAAGCCCTTGCTATCTCCGGGTCCGTACCGAAAATCTCGCGATCCTGGTTGGCGGGATTGAGGATCTGGCCCACCACGAGCAAAGTACACGCAAAGCTCCCGTGCCACCGCTCCTTCACAAGCTTCGAAATTTCATCCTTCTCCGCTTCACTCAACAACTCCCCATCTACCTCCTTCAGTACCTCATCCACATCTTCTGTCAATTGCCGCATCGTATCATACATACGGCTCATCGTTGACTTGGCGCTCGAATCAACGGCCTGCATCACCACATACACGAGCTTCATCAGCTTCGAAAACAACTCAGCAGCCTTCCACCACGCTGCGTCCTCGACACACGCGGCGAATCCCTCAGCCTCCTCCTTCACCTTCTGCTTCGTCTCTATAAACCACACCTTCCATGCTTCGCTCGACACCATCCGCGCCAGCTGCGGCCGAAGCTCACAAAGGCTAGACACAGCAACGTACTGTGCTCCGAACCTTGCGTTTCGCGACCTCAACACTTGCAACACCTTGCCATCGGGCTGTCCTATGCTCTTTAGGCAGTAGCGTATCGCGCCGCCGTGGATACGGAGAAACCCAATCAGCTCATCCGTCCTGTCAACCACCCCCCTGGGCCATGCCATCTTCCCTATGTCTTCCATCATCCGATTCAATGCATGCACCGCGGACGGAACATACTCAATGTGCGGCCACTCGCGCATCAATTCTCGGCAAGCACCGGCGTAGCCACTCTCGCCGTCCATGCAGAGAGCAACGATGTTCTCTGGCCCAACCTTCTCCACAATCGCCCGTAGGGTTCTGCGAATGTAGTCACATGTCTCGGCCTCCATACTGCAGTCCTCCTTCCTGCAATCGTCCTTAATGCGGCCCTCCATACTGCAGTGCATGCTGCAGTCAATGCTCTCCATGAACACGCGCCCAGAGTCATTGACAAGCCACACGTTGGCTTGCGACCGGCCACGCTTGTCTGTCACCGTGTCAATCGCAAGGGTGACGCCATGCTGCTTCCAGCTCGCTGCAACGGGCTTCAGCTCCTGCTCGACCAATACCCGAGACTGCTTCAATCCGGAGCCACCGATGTGGCGGCTATCGGGAGAAAAGTAGCTGCTTCCCGCACGTGCGATGGCTTGCACTGCGTTGCGCCAAAGCGGGTTATCGGCGTGCTGCGGCGGAATGCAGAGGCCGGCGTAGAGGAGGCAGATCGCCTCATCCGCTGCATTTTTCGCTTCTAACGCCGCGCCTTCCGAGAATTCAGTCATGCGGCTCCTCTTGGCGCCACCATTCACTGTGCTATAGGACGTGCTCTCCACCCTCTCCGTATCTTCCTGAACGGTCTGTTTGTCATATACGCCATTCATATGGGGGAAGTGGGTGGGAGTGGGAGGGACAATGCGTGAGGTTGCTCATGCGGCTCCTCTTGGCGCGTCCATTCACCATGCTGAAGGACATGCTCTCCGCCCTTTCCATCTCTTCCTGAACGGCCTGGTTTTGTCATTGACGTCATCCATTCCATACGGGAGAAGTGGGTGGGAGCGGGAGAGGCAAGGCGTGAGGTTGCTCATGCCGCTCCTCTTGGCGCGTCCATTCACCGTGCTGAAGGACGTGCTCTCCACCCTTTCCGTATCTTCCCGGGCGGCATGTTTTGTCATATACGCCATCCATAAGGAGGGAGTGGGTGGGAGAATTCAGTCATGCGGCTCCTCTTGGCGACTCCATTCACCGTGCTGAAGGACTACTCTCCACCCTTTCCGTACCTTCCCGAGCGGCCTGGTTTTGTCATTGACGTCACCCATAAGGGGGAAGAGGTTGGGAGTGGGAGAGACAAGGCGTGAGGGTGCAGGGGAGATTGGGAGCGGGAAACAAGGGGTGAAGCTGCAGCGGGGGATGGGATATGAGCGTGAAATTCCAGGGGGAAGTGGGACGGGGAAAGGAAAGGTGAGGCTGCAGAGGGGCATGCAATGGGGAAAGGAGAGTTGAGACTGCAGAGTAAATGGGATTGGGACAAGAGACATACGCAGCAAGGGGGAATGGGCGCGGGAGACGAGGGGTGAGGTCGCAATGAAAGCTATGTTTACGAAGGGCAAGACGGCAGGTAGAGGAAAGGCGGGTTTTGAGGGAAAGATTTACGAGTCGATTCAAAACGATTTTTCTGGGTCGGCTCAAAATTATCCTCCGAGCGACTAATAAAGAGGGGACTGGGAGCGGGAGAGAGGGAGGGTGAGGGCGGAGAAAACCGAGATTACGAAAAACGGAACGGCAGTAACGGGAGGAGATGAGGAAATCTACTGCGTTTGAGAATTTCGTACCATTGTGGAAATAACACTAACGCCGCGTGCCAACGAACTTCGGTTGTCTCCACACTGAAAAACGTATAAGTTCTAGACGTCGCAAAGCATGACATGAATGGGTGGGATGATGCTTCTGCTGCTGCTGCTGCTCCTCCTACCGTTGCTGCTGAGGACATTCCCTAGGTGCAGAGTTTCTTCGCAGGTCGTGCTTTCAAAAGCAAATTGGTGAATACCGACTGGTTCAAAGCGGTGAGGCTCACAACCGAATCGAACCGCATTGCACTGCATTATGTGTAAATCTCTTGAACAAAGCGAAACTGACTACTTCTGACTGACGCGCTGTTCGAGAATTGGCGGGAAATGGCCCAGTTCAAATGTTTCGCCAAGTGGGTGTGTTATGGTGAAAACACATAAGCTTAGCACATGATCAAGTACACTGCCAGAAAAACATAATCAATACAAATAGCTTTGCAGTAGCAAAAACTGTCCTGGTTTATTATTCCCCAAAATGTGTGACATTGATATAGGTATATCCTGAATAAATGCAGCACATTTACCTCATTCAAATGTTTGGTAATTGGCAAATACAGGTGTGGTTTGATGTGCATTTGCAATAGCAGGAGTTTATAAAAAAAACCACACAGGAAATGCTCACACACACACGAACACATCCCGCAAAGAACAAGAGTATTGAAGGCACATTGCTCACGTGGAGCAAATTATTGAGTCACTCAAGTGGACGGCATCGCATAAAATGCTTATTAAGGCAGGTCTTTTACTGCATATGGTGTTTCGTGACCTTCGTAACCTTCACCGTCGCTGCTCGTATACCCTCCACCCCCCACACGCCCGCCAACCCTTCCCCTCTCCTCCTTTCCCACCTCTTGGTCCTCCTTCTGGAGTTCCGGCTCCAGTAAAACCAGACCTGCGCCTCCCAAGCTTGCTTGTTGAGACAACTAAGAACTCTGCTCCCCTGCCTCTTGATTCTCTAATTCTCAACTTCCAGCCATGTAAAACCTGAACTCCTCCTCCCAAGCTTGCCACGTCTCACATCTCCCTGCTCGGGGCCCTATCACTCGTCCAACCCGCCGTCGACCACCCTGCTCTCCACTCACTACTGCTGATCGTGTACCCTCCACTGCCCACACTGCCCTGGTAAAACCAGACCTCCTCCTCCCAAGCCTGCCACGTGTCACATCTCCCTACTCGGGGCACTATCACTCGTCCAACCCGTGGTTGACCCCCCTGCCCTCCACACACCCTCACTGCTGCTGCTCGTGTACCCTCCACCGCCCACACTCCCAGACACCCCTCCTGTTCCCTGCCTTCCCTCTCCCGCACCCTTCTCTCGCGTCACCTCGTCGTAAACCTCTTGACCGTACTCCATCTCCTCATCATCGTCGTCGAAACCTGGCACCAGAGCCCCTTCGTTTGCCATGTTCTCCCAGAATCGCTCCTCGCTAACCGCACCAGTACCCGTGCTAAAAGCAGCGCTACTAGCACCAGTGGTACTAACGCCAGGGCTGGCACCAGTGCTAGCCTTACTGCTAGCGCCACTGTTGAAAGTAGCAGAGGAGATACCAGTACCAGCACCACTAGCACCAGCACCACCAGCAGCAGCAGCAGCAGCAGCGTCACCACCATCCCTGCCAGCATCATTGCCACCATCACTGCCGCAAGCTGGGCATGCGGGCGCTGCACCGCATGCCCAGCTTCAGGAACCACTCAAACGTCGCCTCCACCTCCTCGGGAATACCACCTAAGCTTCCCCCTTGGGATTGCCCTGCGCCATCCACTAACACCTCCACATTCCCTCCTTCTCCCTCCATCGCTCCCCCTACCGCAGTCAGCAGCGCAGGGTCCCCTCCGCCTACCGCAGTCAGCAGCGCAGGGTCGATGACAGCTGTCGCGCCCCTGCCGCCCGCCATGACGCGCTTAATGACCAGCTGGCGGATGTGCTGTCCGTCGCTGATTGGCCGGAGACCTGTGGCTATCTCCAGCAGCACGATGCCGAAGCTGAACACGTCGCTCTTTTCAGTCAGCAGATCTGACATGAAGTACTCGGGGTCTAGGTAGCCCTGGGGAGGAGAAACAGAGAGATGGGGAGAGGGGGAATAGAGTGGGATTGGGTGCAGCCCAATCAGCCCCGTCCCAATCTCGAGCAGCACGATGCCGAAGCTGAACACGTCACTCTTCTCGGTCAGCAGGTCAGACATGTAGTACTCGGGATCCAGGTAGCCCTGGGGAAAGCATGAGGGGAGGGAGACAGGAAAGGAGCTGGTGATTTGCAATGCCCCATCCCTTTCTCGAGCAGCACGATGCCGAAGCTGAACACATCACTCTTCTCGGTTAGCAGGTCAGACATGAAGTACTCGGGGTCCAGGTAGCCCTGGGAGTAAGGAAGGGAGGAGGAAAGGAGAGGATGGGGAAATGGCAAGAGGGGTTTTGGGTGCAGCCCCGTGGCGATCTCGAGCAGCATGATGCCGAAGCTGAACACGTCGCTCATTTCTGTCAGCAGATCTGACATGAAGTACTCGGGGTCTAGGTATCCCTTGGTGGGGTGGGGAGAAACAAAGAGATGGAGAAAGGGGGAATAGAGTGGGATTGGGTGCAGCCCCGTGGCGATCTCCAGCAGCACGATGCCGAAGCTGAACACGTCGCTCATTTCTGTCAGCAGATCTGACATGAAGTACTCGGGGTCTAGGTAGCCCTGGGGAGGAGAGGAGGTGATGGGGGAGGAAAAAGGGATACAGGGAGAGGAAGGAATGGAGTGGGATTGGCCGGAGACACATGGCGATCCCCAGCAGCACGATGCCGAAGCTGAACACGTCACTCTTCTCAGTGAGCAAGGCGGACATGTAGTACTACTCGGGGTCCAAAGTGACACCTTCACCTTCTCCTATAGTCACATACATACCCCCCGTTATAGTCACCCCTCTTATAGTCACACCACACCACGTACCACGGTGCCCTTGACCTGCGTGCCCAGCTGCTCTCCAGCCTCCATCACCGCCTTGGAGATCCCAAGGCCATGCACGTGTGCCTGAATGACTCTACCCACAAGCGCTTATAGTTACAACCACATAGCCACACCCTGTTATAGTCACACCAGCACGTACCACGGTGCCCTTGACCTGTGTGTCCAGCTGTTCCCCTTCCATCACCGCCTTGGAGATTCCAAAGTCAGCCACCTTCGCCTCCCCTGCTGCTGTGATTAGGATGTTGGCGGTCTGCAGTGGGGTGGGGCGGGGTGGGGTGGGGTGGGGTGGGGTGGGGTGGGGTGGGGGAGCAGAATGGTAATTGGTTTAGGGCTAGTGAGATGCCAATTCCGCCACCTTTGCCTCCCCCGCTGCTGTGATCGGGATGTTGGCCGTCTGTGGTGGGGAGGGGTGGGGGTGAGTGGGGCGATTTGGGGCATCGGGTTTAGCGAGATCCTAAAGTCAGCCACCTTTGCCTCCCCCGCTGCTGTGATCGGGATGTTGGCCGTCTGTAGTGGGGTGGAGAGAGGTTATTTTTGAGACGTCTAAAATATAACCTCTCTACACGCTGATGTGATCGGGATGTTGGCGGTCTGTGGTGGGGAGGGGCGACGGCCATGGCCAGTGTGAGCAGTGGGGAAGGAAGGGCAAGTGGCGTGATTGGGGGCATTGGGGAGAGTGAGATTTCAAATTCCGCCACCTTTGCCTCCCCTGCTACTGTGATCGGGATGTTGGCCGTCTGCAGTGGGGTGGGTTGCGGTGAGGTGAGGTGGAGGGAGATGGGGAGAGATGGGGAGAGGTGGGGGTGGATCATAAGAGTGAGATCCCAAAGTCCACCACCTTAGATGTGGCCTCCAATATGTTTGAGGTTGATTTTGTCCCAAAGTCCATAAGAGAATTCTCAAAATCAACCTCAGTCCACCCACCTTGGCGATGAGTGACACATCCAATAACGATGTGATGAGGATGTGGGCCCACTTGCACGCACACATACACGCAATGTCACACACGTGCACGCATACCCGCACACACTAACACATTCTCTCCCACCCACCTTCACGTTGCGATGAATGATAGGCGGCTTGATCTGATGGTGCAGGTAGGCGAACCCCTTTGGGTTTTGAAACGTCCCTCGCACCCTCTCCTCCTTTCATCACTCACACCTCCCCCACCCCCCCCTTTCCCACCTTCACGTCTCGGTGAATGATAGGCGGCTTGATCTGATGGTGCAGGTAGGCGAACCCCCTGGCTGCTCCACATGCGATGTCCAGCCGCTGCTGCCATGACAGGTGCATGCCAGACTTGCCTGGTAGGTGGAGAGAGGAAGGGGGAAGTACGATGGGGGAAGAGAGGATGGGGGCAAAAAGATGAGGAGGATAAGATCTTAAACCAGAGGCGAACCCCCTGGCTGCCCAAACATGCGATATCCAGCCGCTGTTGCCATGTCAGGTGCAAGTCGGACTTGCCTGGGGAGGGAGGATGGGGTTTGAAGGAGAACGAGGGAGGATGGGGTTTGAAGGAGAACGAGGGAGGATGGGGTTTGAAGGAGAACGAGGGAGGATGGGGTTTGAAGGATGAGGGAGAATATGGGGAGAGTGGATGGAAAGAGAGTGTTTTTTTCTCAATGAACACATACACGAGCAGCTGCTTCCCTGATTCCACACAGAATCCCTTGAGCAAAACCAGGTTGCACCAACACTACTACACACCAGCGCTGATTAGATTCTCACCACTCTCCCCGCAGCACCACTCTCCACGCCTTTAAGCACCTCTCCTCGCCTCTGAGAATGTCCTCCAGAGTGCCCTTCTCAATGAACTCATACACCAGTAGCTGCTCCCCTGCCTCCACACAGAAGCCCCGCAGCAGCACCCCTCGTTGAACCCATTCCCCAGCCATCAACTCTGCACCCACAGCACCCCCTCTCACCACTCAGCACCACCATACACCCTCTCCCTACCTCTTTGAATGTCCTCGAGCGTCCCCTTCTCAATGAACTCATACACCAGTAGCTGCTCCCCTGCCTCCACACACAAGCCCCTCAGCAGCACCAGGTTGCACCAATGCCACAGCCGTCTCACCTCTCCGAAAACACTCTACGCCCTTCAATACCTCTCAGTATGTCCTCCAGAGTGCCCTTCTCAATGAACTCATACACCAGAAGCTGTTCCCCCGCTTCCACACAGAAGCCCCGCAGCACCATTGCTACATTCAAAAGCTTCCTCACCTCTCAGCACCGCTCCACACCTCCCCTCACCTCTCAGTATGTCCTCCAGAGTGCCCTTCTCAATGAACCCATACACCAGAAGCTGCTCCCCCGCTTCCACACAGAAGCCCCTCAGCACCATTGCTACATTCAAAAGCTTCCTCACCTCTCAGCACCGCTCCACACCTCCCCTCACCTCTCAGTATGTCCTCCAGAGTGCCCTTCTCAATGAACTCATACACCAGAAGCTGCTCCCCCGCTTCCACACAGAAGCCCCGCAGCAGCACCAGGTTGCGGTGCCGTACTGCCGACAGCAGCAATTTCTCGTTGCGGAACTCTTTTCCATTCACCTGGTTGTGTTGGGTGGTGTGCAAAGGTGTAGAACGGTGTAGAAAGGCTTAAAGGGAGTGTGGTGCGGTGTAGGGAGGTTGAAGGGAGTGTGGTATGAGAAGGCAAGGGGACAGCATAAGCCCCTGAGCAGCACCAGGTTGCGGTGCCGCACCGCTGACAGCAGCTCTATCTCGTTGCGAAATTCCTTGCCGTTCACCTGGGGGTGTAGGAAGGTGTAGAGCGGTGTACAACGGTGTAGAGAGGTTCAAAGGGAGTGTGGTGCGGTATAGGGAGATTAAAAGGAGTGTGGCAAGGTACAAAGACGCCCCCTAGTTGCACCAGGTTGCGGTGCCGCACTGCCGACAGCAGCTCTATCTCATTGCAGAACTCCTTGCCGTTCACCTGGGGGTGTGGGGTGGTGTACAGCGGTGTAGAACGGTGTAGGGAGGCTTAAAGGGGGTGTGGGGTGGTTTAGGAAGGTTAAGTTGAAGGGAGTGTGGCACGGTCAGCATAAGCCCCGCAGCAGCACCAGGTTGCGGTGGCGCACTGCCGACAGCAGCTCTATCTCGTTGCGGAACTCCTTCCCGTTCACCTGGTGGTGTGGGAAGGTGGAGTGTGGTGTAGGGGGGTTAACGGGAGTGTGGTGTAGGGGGGTTGAAGGGAATGTGGTGTAGGGGGGTTAAAGGGAGTGTCGTACATATAAGTAGGATAAAACGAGTGGTGGCACAAGAAGGTGGGAAAGTGGGGTAAGAATGTTGAGGGAGTGCTATATAACACGGTGAAAGGTAGTGTGGCAAGGTCAACAAAAGCCCCATCACGCCCTCACAGTCTACCTGCCCTCTCAACCCACCTGCACACTCAGCTCACCACTCTCAACCCACCTGCACGCCTGGCTTGGCCCGTTTGACCGCCACTTTCTCCCCTGATGGCAACTCCCCGTGGTAAACCTGTTGGGCGTGCGGTGGGGTGGTGTGGGGTGGGGTGAGGTGGGGTGGGGTGGAGTGGGTTGGGGTGGGGTGGAGTAGGTTGGGGTGGGGTGTGAAACGGTGAGCAGAGAGACGGCTGAAGGAGGGTTGAGGGCGCATTTGACGGCCACTTTACCCCAGTGGCAACTGCCCGAGGTAGGTACACCTGTTGGGCGTGCAGTGCGGTGTAGTGGGGTGGGGTGGGGTGGGGTGGGGTGCAGAGGGAGATGGCTGAGGGAGGGCCGAGAAGCCGCTTTAACACCACCTTCTTCCCCAATGGTAACAGCCGCACACTCCTTCCTCCTCTCCCTCACACCCATCCAAACACTTCGCACCTGTCCGTATCTCTTTGCACCTGTCCACATCCGCCCTCTCCCAGCAGCGTGCTTTTGAGACGTCTCAAAAACACCCTCGCTACACCTGTCCACATCCGCCCTCTCCCAGCAGCGTGCTTTTGAGACGTCTCAAAAACACCCTCGCTACACCTGTCCACATCCGCCCTCTCCCAGCAGCGTGCTTTTGAGACGTCTCAAAAACACCCTCGCTACACCTGTCCACATCCGCCCTCTCCCAGCAGCGTGCTTTTGAGACGTCTCAAAAACACCCTCGCTACACCTGTCCACATCCGCCCTCTCCCAGCAGCGTGCTTTTGAGACGTCTCAAAAACACCCTCGCTACACCTGTCCACATCCGCCCTCTCCCAGCAGCGTGCTTTTGAGACGTCTCAAAAACACCCTCGCTACACCTGTCCACATCCGCCCTCTCCCAGCAGCGTGCTTTTGAGACGTCTCAAAAACACCCTCGCTACACCTGTCCACATCCGCCCTCTCCCAGCAGCGTGCTTTTGAGACGTCTCAAAAACACCCTCGCTACACCTGTCCACATCCGCCCTCTCCCAGCAGCGTGCTTTTGAGACGTCTCAAAAACACCCTCGCTACACCTGTCCACATCCGCCCTCTCCCAGCAGCGTGCTTTTGAGACGTCTCAAAAACACCCTCGCTACACCTGTCCACATCCGCCCTCTCCCAGCAGCGTGCTTTTGAGACGTCTCAAAAACACCCTCGCTACACCTGTCCACATCCGCCCTCTCCCAGCAGCGTGCTTTTGAGACGTCTCAAAAACACCCTCGCTACACCTGTCCACATCCGCCCTCTCCCAGCAGCGTGCTTTTGAGACGTCTCAAAAACACCCTCGCTACACCTGTCCACATCCGCCCTCTCCCAGCAGCGTGCTTTTGAGACGTCTCAAAAACACCCTCGCTACACCTGTCCACATCCGCCCTCTCCCAGCAGCGTGCTTTTGAGACGTCTCAAAAACACCCTCGCTACACCTGTCCACATCCGCCCTCTCCCCGCAGCGTGCTTTTGAGACGTCTCAAAAACACCCTCGCTACACGTGTCCACATCCGCCCTCTCCCAGCAGCGTGCTTTTGAGACGTCTCAAAAACACCCTCGCTACACGTGTCCACATCCGCCCTCTCCCAGCAGCGTGCTTTTGAGACGTCTCAAAAACACCCTCGCTACACGTGTCCACATCCGCCCTCTCCCAGCAGCGTGCTTTTGAGACGTCTCAAAAACACCCTCGCTACACGTGTCCACATCCGCCCTCTCCCAGCAGCGTGCTTTTGAGACGTCTCAAAAACACCCTCGCTACACGTGTCCACATCCGCCCTCTCCCAGCAGCGTGCTGAACCCATGGGTTACATCTGCCAGCTCCCCCAGCTTGAAAATACCTGGATCTACCTCTCCAGTTGCGCCCTCCCCCCTCCCCTCACAGATATACCTGACTCATAAGCCTGTCCACATTAGGTCGCACCTGTCCGTATCCGCCCTCCCCCAGCAGTGTCTTGAACCCCTGGGTCGCATCTGCCAGCTCTGCCAGTTTGAATCGCTGCACGCCCACCAGGTTCAGGCCCTCTATGGCCTCGTAGTCCTCCTCCTTCCACCAATCTGGCGTGTGTTTGAGGAGAGAAGAAGGGGGAATATCGGACGGTTAAGATGGGGGCGAGTAACGATGCATCTGCCACCTCCCCCAGCTTGAACCGCTGCACGCCCACCAGGTTCAGGCCCTCTATTGCTTCATAGTCCTCCTTCCCCCACCAGTCTGGTTTGGGTTAGGGTGGAGGGGACGCGGGACGTGAAACGGGGTGTGGGGGGGGTGGTAGGGGGTTGGGACAGGAATGGGGCGTCAGGAAAGGGGAAATAATCACCTTTTGAGGCATAGCAAAAGGTGCCTCAAAGGGCAAGGGGCATATTTTTCCACCTCCCTGAGCATAAACTTCATCAGGCCTTCCTCATTCACGCTTTCTGCCTTCACGCCTTCTTCTGCCTGCAACAAGGTGACCTTTGAAATCGCCACTTCTGCTGCCGCCATACTCGCCACTGCTGCAATGGACACTCTCGAGTCAGCTCTAGTTGATTTGAAGGCTCACCTTGCAGGCTTGCACCAGGTAAGTCACACAAACAGTAGAGCGAGAATTGCCACTCCTGCTGCCAGCCACCACACCCCTACCGCTGCAGTTGACCCTCGTAATTCGTCTCAAACGAGAATATTGAGTCTTATGAAAGCTCACCTTGCCTCTTCTGACGGTGCAGCAGGCAGGAACCAAGTAAGCCCCACATACAGCAGGGCGAGAATCGCCACTCCTTCTGCCACCTCCCTCACCCCTACCGCTGCAGTTGATCCTCCTGATTTGTCTCACACAACGAGTATTGAGTCATGTGAAAGCCCACCTTGCCTCTTCTGACGGTGCAGAAGCAGCCAGGTAAGCCCCACGAGCAGCAGAGCGAGAATCGCCACTCCTGCTGCCACTATACCCACCACCACTGCGATTGAAACCCCCCCAGACGCTGGTGGTGCCTGTGATGTGACGTTAGCAGGTGGGGCTGTGGGTACAAAGGGGCCAGGGGGTTTGAGGTACAAGGGAATATGGTGACTGTGTTGAGACGATTTGGTTGCATCTCTTGCTGTCTCCGCATATGCTGCCACTACTGCAGCTGACAACCCTCCTGATGCTGGTGCCTGTTAAGTGACGTTGGAAGGTGGGGCTTAAGGAAGGGGGGGGGTCGAGTCGAGGGCCAAGGAAGAAAGAGAGTCAGAACAGAGAGGAAGGAAGGAAGGTGAACAGAGAGTCAGCTTCGGAGCTGACTCTCTGTTGACTCCAGCTTCGGAGCTGACTCTCTGTTGACTCCAGCTTCGGAGCAGCACCTGCTGCCACCACACACACTACCGCTGCGATGGAAGGAAGGTGGAGAACAGATGGTGACTGTGCTGAGTTGACTGCTCAAAACATACCAGCAGCAGCAGCTCTACTCACCCCTTCCCGGCTGTAGCACGCCAGGATGTGATACAATACGGCCCCAGGTTAGTTTTTGAGTCGACTCAAAAACACGCCATGATGTGATACATTACGGCCCCAGGTTAGACCCTGTGCTGTGAGCTAGTCTAGTCACACACGCGCATACGCATTGATGCCCCAATGCGCCCACCAGCGCTCAACTGCACCCGCACCAGACCCACCCTACTCACCCTCGGGGCCGTAGTAACCCAGAAGGGTACAGCGCACCAGGTCTTTTACCCACCCAACAAGATGACTTTTGAGTCGACTCATAACCCAGAAGGGTACAGCGCACCAGGTCTTTTACCCACCCAACAAGATGACTTTTGAGTCGACTCATAACCCAGAAGGGTACAGCGCACCAGGTCTTTTACCCACCCAAAGAGAGGTTATTTTTGAGACGTCTCTTTGAGACGTTATTTTTGAGACGTCTCAAAAATAACCTCTCTACACGTGACTCACCCTCGGGGCCATAGTAACCCAGAAGGCTACAGCGCGCCGGGTCTTTTACCCACCCAACAATACCCACCCTCGTAGCCGTAGTATCCCAGAATGAGGTACGGCTTTAAGTCGTTGCGCAAATGCACACGGTGCCACTTACCACCCGCTCAAGGCACGCGCCAAAACACAGCATCAGCAGCAGCAGCAGCAGCAGCATCAGCAGCAGCAGCAGCAGCAGCAGCAGCAGCAGCAGCAGCCGCAGCCGCAGCCGCCCAGTACTCAACTCACCATCAGGGTTGTAGTATCCCAAAATGCGGTATGGGCCCAAGTCAGTGCCCAAAATCACACGGTGGGAGTCGAACGCGTTCCGGATCGTCTCTGGCTGGCTGAAGGCTGGCTGGTGCTGCCAGGAGGTGTCGTCTAGTGGCGGGAAGAAGAGGATCGACATGGTGATATCGCTGTCTGTGAGCACAGCGGTTGTGATGGTGCTGATGATTATCTGATGAGCGGAGGGAGAAGGGGGGGAGGATTGGGGGAGGATGAGGGGCAGAACGGGGGAGAGGGGAGGAGAGAGGGATGAAGAGGAGTGGGAAGGGTGGAAAGGAGAGGGGAGAGGACCACTAGCCAGGCTGGCTGGTGGCTGGCTGGTGGCTGGCTGGCGCTGCCAGGAGGTGTCGTCTAGTGGCGGGAAGAAGAGGATCGACATGGTGATATCGCTGTCTGTGAGCATAGCGGTTGTGATGGTGCTGATGATTATCTGATGAGGGGAGGGAGAAGGGGGGGGGGAGGAGGGAAGGGATGGGCAGAGGAGACAGGAGATAGGGAAAAAACGATGGTCATGGTGGCATCGCTGTGTATGGGAACGGCGCCTGTGATGGGAGCGTGGGGTGACCCATCCACGCATCCTCCCACCCTCCCTTCCTCCCTCCCTCCCACCCTCCCTCCCTCCCTCCCTCCCTCCCTCCCTCCATCCCTCCCACCCTCCCTCCCTCCCACCACCCTCCCGCCCACCCACCCTCCCACCCTCCCACCCACCCTCCCACCCACCCTCCCACCCTCCCTGCCACCCATTCACCCTCCCTCCCTCCCACCACCCTCCCGCCCACCCACCCTCCCACCCTCCCACCCACCCTCCCTCCTACCCTCCCACCCTCCCTGCCACCCGTTCACCCTCCCTCCCTCCCACCACCCTCCCGCCCACCCACCCTCCCACCCTCCCACCCTCCCACCCACCCTCCCTCCTACCCACCCACCCTCCCTGCCACCCGTTCACCTGAGTCCACGTCATATTCACGCCCAGCCGCCTCAAGCTGACCCGAATCCTCCCCCGAAAGTTATCCACGAGCTCCTCACTGAACACAGAGTACTGCGAAGCAGGCAGCCGCAGCTGCACTTCCATGGGGGACACGCACTCGCACGTGTGATCGCGATGGTAGAGAGGGAAGTTGGGCCGGTAGCGCGGGTTGCAGTCCAGGTCGGCACAGAAAGCTGGGAAGGTGAAGTCGGGAAAGGGTTCTGGCGGCAGGCAGACTTGGGAGACTTCGGGGCGATAGGGCGAGCAGAGGGGGTTGCCGTAGAGCCTGGGGAGGGGTGGAGAGGGGTGGAGAGGGGTGGAGACGGTGAAGAGTTTTGGGCGATAGGGCGAGCAGAGGGGGTTGCCGTAGAGCCTGGGGGAGAGGAAAAGATGGGGGAGGGGAGAGAGGGAGTTGAAATTCGAGTCGACTAAAAAAATCCAACTCGGTAGAGAGGGTTGCAGTGCAGGTCGGGGCAGAAAGCTGGGAAGGTAGGCAGACTTGGGAGACTTCGGGGCGATAGGGCGAGCAGAGGGGGTTGCCGTAGAGCCTGGGGGAGAGGAAAAGATGGGGGAGGGGAGAGAGGGAGTTGAAATTCGAGTCGACTAAAAAAATCCAACTCGGTAGAGAGGGTTGCAGTGCAGGTCGGGGCAGAAAGCTGGGAAGGTAGGCAGACTTGGGAGACTTCGGGGCGATAGGGCGAGCAGAGGGGGTTGCCGTCGAGCCTGGGGGAGAGGAAAAGATGGGGGAGGGGAGAGAGGGAGTTGAAATTCGAGTCGACTAAAAAAATCCAACTCGGTAGAGAGGGTTGCAGTGCAGGTCGGGGCAGAAAGCTGGGAAGGTAGGCAGACTTGGGAGACTTCGGGGCGATAGGGCGAGCAGAGGGGGTTGCCGTCGAGCCTGGGGGAGAGGAAAAGATGGGGGAGGGGAGAGAGGGAGTTGAAATTCGAGTCGACTAAAAAAATCCAACTCGGTAGAGAGGGTTGCAGTGCAGGTCGGGGCAGAAAGCTGGGAAGGTAGGCAGACTTGGGAGACTTCGGGGCGATAGGGCGAGCACAGGGGGTTGCCGTCGAGCCTGGGGGAGAGGAAAAGATGGGGGAGGGGAGAGAGGGAGTTGAAATTCGAGTCGACTAAAAAAATCCAACTCGGTAGAGAGGGTTGCAGTGCAGGTCGGGGCAGAAAGCTGGGAAGGTAGGCAGACTTGGGAGACTTCGGGGCGATAGGGCGAGCAGAGGGGGTTGCCGTAGAGCCTGGGGGAGAGGAAAAGGTGGGGGAGGGGAGAGAGGGAGTTGAAATTCGAGTCGACTAAAAAAATCCAACTCGGTAGAGAGGGTTGCAGTGCAGGTCGGGGCAGAAAGCTGGGAAGGTAGGCAGACTTGGGAGACTTCGGGGCGATAGGGCGAGCAGAGGGGGTTGCCGTAGAGCCTGGGGGAGAGGAAAAGGTGGGGGAGGGGAGAGAGGGAGTTGAAATTTGAGTCGACTAAAAAAATCCAACTCGGTAGAGAGGGTTGCAGTGCAGGTCGGGGCAGAAAGCTGGGAAGGTAGGCAGACTTGGGAGACTTCGGGGCGATAGGGCGAGCACAGGGGAGTGCCGTAGAGCCTGGGGGAGAGGAAAAGATGGGGGAGAAGAAAGAGGGATGGATAAGTTGAAGAAGGGGGTTTTGAGTTCGGTTGAAGAGGGTTTGGTTGGGAGACACTTGTGATTATTTCCTTGGAGACACATGTACTCGGTAACAATCAACGACACTTGACAACACTTGAATTCGCTCACTAGGTGTTGACAAATTCGTTGGTGGGATTCAGTTGTGAGCAGCTTGTGTGAAGCATTGGAGAAGAGATGGTGCTAGATATGAGCGCGTTACTTAGGCTTAAATTTCGAACATCAATGTTGTGAGCAGCTTGTGTGAAGCATTGGAGAAGAGATGGTCACGGGGCAAGAGGAACATGCATGTGGGGAGATGCAGTGTATTTTTCAGTCGACTCAAAAAAAGAGGAACATGCATGTGGGGAGATGCAGTGTATTTTTCAGTCGACTAAAAAAAAGAGGAACATGCATGTGGGGAGATGCAGTGTATTTTTCAGTCGACTCAAAAAAAGAGGAACATGCATGTGGGGAGATGCAGTGTATTTTTCAGTCGACTCAAAAAAAGAGGAACATGCATGTGGGGAGATGCGATGGCAAGAGGTTTTGAGACGTCTCAAAACACTGCTTTTATCACGTGTCTATTCGTTTTTTGAGACGTCTCAAAGCATTCGAGACGCGACGGCCATCGGGCAAGTGGGGAGATGCAGTGGCAAAGGCGGCAAACCCCCTCAGCAAAGGCTGAGAGGGATGCAGCAGATTCGGGAGGCGGCCCCTTAGGCTGAACTAACTAATGCGTGTTGACAGACGGATGAGAATCTCGCCGCCCCTCGTACGTTACGTTACTCACACACATGGACCACTCACTCCGTTTTGATGGCTTCACTGGTGAGCAGCTTGTGTGGAGCGTGTGTGAAAAGGTTGTCGTAGAGAGAGAGGAACATCAACCCCAAGAGCTGCGTGAAGTTTGGGATGTGGCCTCTCAGCTTGTTGTCAGAGAGCGTTCTGCATGGATGGGGTGGAATGGAAGGAAGGAGTGGAATGGGAGGAGTTGGGATGAATGAAGAGATGGGCGTAGAGCGTGAGGAACATCAACCCCAAGAGCTGCGTGAAGTTTGGGATGTGGCCTCTCAGCAATAGAAATACAAGTTATTGAAGAGATTGTTGAGGAGTGGGGGAAGCAACAGCGGGGGAAGCAACAGCGGTGGGAGCTGCAGCAGATGCAAGAGGTGGGCCGTAGAAGAGAGAAAGCAGAAAATGAGAAAGAGCGTGGTGGTAACTGGGTGAGTTTGGGCTTGAGGTTGGGTGCGTTTGGGCCTCACATAGAAGAGAGGTTGGGTAAGCTTGGGCTGGGCCTTACACTGAAAAGAGGTTGGATAAGTTTGCAGTGACTATTCTAGGAGGTCGATTTTTGAGTCGACTCAAAAATCAGCTTGGGCTCGGCCTTACATTGAAAAGAGGCTGGATAAGTTTGCAGTGACTATTCTAGGAGGTATGGTCCCCGTGAGATTGTTATTGTGGAAAGAACTGCAATGGGGAGAGTATCGCAGAAAAGGGGGTGGTGGGGGAGGAAGGACAGTGGTGAAAGAGGAAAGATTGGTAACTTTGAAGTGCTTCACAAGATAAGGGGAGTTTGATAGAGACTATTGGAAGTACACATGAAACATTCAAAAGCACAAATCATACTTTCAAGAGCACATATAACACATGCGAGAGCACACATGATACATGCGAGAGCACACATGATACATGCGAGAGCACACATGATACATGCGAGAGCACACATGATACATGCGAGAGCACACATGATACATGCGAGAGCACACACTAGCACACTTCATACATGCGATGCGAGAGCATGCCTCATGACTGCGAGAACACACATCCTGGTTATGAGAGCAAACCATATGAATGTGAAAGCACACATCATGCGAGAGCACACGCCATACATGGTGTGCCACACGCCATAGGAGGCACACGCAATACATGCGAGAGCACATGCCATACATGCGAAGAGCACATGCAATACATGCGAAGAGCACACGCTTACAGGGTGGCGAGATTGGAATGGGAGGTGAAGAGGGAGAGGGGGATAGAGCCAAAGAAGTGGTTGTGGCTCAAGTCGCTGCAGCAAGAGGATTTTGCGAAAAGGGGGGAGACACAAGAGCATATATTTTGAGCAAAGTATGGTTTCTTAAAGCCTGCGGCCGAATTTGTGAGCCGCACCCATCAGCTGAAACAAGAAGAGTTCTGGACATGGTTTCGCAAAGAGGGTGTTTTGAGAAGCGATATAGTCTTATTGGTTGTAAGACTGCGATAGCAGTTTGTCAGTTTTATAACGAGTCACGCACAGGCTGGCAAGGGCAGGGAGCCCGTCAAATGAAGGCACTGTCTGAGGTGTTGGCAGAAGTAGACGGGGGGTGTTGTGAGCGACGGCTGTTACACTTTCGCACAACACCTCGCTACACTGATCAAGGGGGGGGACTTCGAGTTTGGTTGCCCAAGTCCCAAGTTGCAACCGAGCAAGTTTCCGAACCCCCTCCATCAAGAATACTAATCTTGCCCCTCGCGGTCTGCAATTTGGGCCTTGAGATTTAAAAGGTTGCCTTCTTCACCACACAGGTCAGCAAGGTCAGCGGATTTTATATTGAGACACGCACAGGCTGGCAAGGGCAGGGAGCCCGTCGAATGAAGGCACTGGCTGAGGCAGCACGATGCAGTTGCAGAGTAGCCTGGCGGGAAGGAGCGGGTGGTGCGTGAGAGACGGGGATGAGAGGCAAGTGGAGGGTAAAAGGGAGATGAGAGGCCATGGAGGGTAAAAGGGAGATGAGAGGCAAGTGGAGGGTGGATGCAGGGGCTAAGATGGCAAGGCACGGTTCCAGAGAAGTCTGGTGGGAACGAGTGGGTGGAGCATCGGGCATGGTGCAGCGACATGTGAATGGGAGAGAGACGGTGCGAAGGGGAGAGAGACGGTGCGAAGGGGAGAGAGACGGTGTGAAGGGGAGAGAGACGTTGCGAAGGGGAGAGAGACGGTGCGAAGGGGAGAGAGACGGTGCGAAGGGGAGAGAGACGGTGTGAAGGGGAGAGAGACGTTGCGAAGGGGAGAGAGACGGTGCGAAGGGGCGAGAGACGGTGCGAAGGGGAGAGAGACGGTGTGAAGGGGAGAGAGACGGTGTGAAGGGGAGAGAGACGTTGCGAAGGGGAGAGAGACGGTGCGAAGGGGAGAGAGACGGTGCGAAGGGGAGAGAGACGGTGCGAAGGGGAGAGAGGCGGTGCGAAGGGGAGAGAGACGGTGCGAAGGGGAGAGAGACGGTGCGAAGGGGAGAGAGACGGTGCGAAGGGGAGAGAGACGGTGCGAAGGGGAGAGAGACGGTGCGAAGGGGAGAGAGACGGTGCGAAGGGGAGAGAGACGGTGCGAAGGGGAGAGAGACGGTGCGAAGGGGAGAGAGACGGTGCGAAGGGGAGAGAGACGGTGCGAAGGGGAGAGAGACGGTGCGAAGGGGAGAGAGACGGTGCGAAGGGGAGAGAGACGGTGCGAAGGGGAGAGAAGGTCGGGGAACATGGGAGGCCTGGGAGTGAGGACGGATGTTGAAGCAACAGAGAACAGTTGGATGGGTGGTGGGGGGTAATGAGTGGTGAGGATGGCATAAAGCATGCATGAACGGTAAGGATGGCATGGGGTACGTGTGAGTGGTGGGGATGGTATGAGGCGTGCATGAATGGAGGGGATGGTATGGGGAGTGCATGCACAGTTAGAATGTAACGGGACATAAGTGGGATATGATTCGCACTCACAGGGTGTGCAAACGAGTCATATTCTTGAGAGCAGGAATTGTCCCCGTTAAAGTGTTATTGCTCAGTTGGCTGGCCAGGAAGAGGGAAAAGGGGAAAACAATGACAGTAGAATTTCGAGGGATTAGTAAAATGGGAGAAAATGGAAACTTCCAGTGGGGTTACTCTAAGGAGTAGGAGACGGGAAATCTTTTCAAGAGAAACCTATTTGTTGTAGAATCTAGAAGAAAATGAGGGCTGGGTGTCAGGGTACAGTAAGAGAGGAGGAGAAGCGGAAGAATATACGGAGTAGAAGGGTATTTGAGTGCGGTGTGGTGTGGCATATTGAGTGCAAGGCTCATAACCCTAGGGCCGGATTGGTATTTTGTTTTGTTCTGAGGCACCCACAATATATGCAGGCAAGGCTCATAACCCTCCAAAAAAATGAATGGAGCTGATTTGCAGCAAGCTCTCGCGATAAAACTAAGGGAAAATAGAGGAAAGGTACCATTACTGGATATGCAATGTAATGTAGGCACCTCACAAGCAGCCAGTGCAGTGTACTGTAACTATTCTGGATAATGCAGTGAACTATTCCGGATTTTGAGTCGTGGGTCCACTGACAAGCAAATCACTACCAGAATCTGTAGTTCCCTGCAGCGAGTGACCCATACTACAGGCAAAAACGCAGACTCGCTCCCACACATCGGCACCACACCACACCAGGTGCAAAGGCGAAGCGAAGCCAGGCGGAGCAAGCATTACATGATTTCCAGGCTCGTGCAGGCAGTGACCCATCCTGGGAAGGGCTGGGTCAAGTTGTTGTTGTCTACCAAGCTGGTGACGGTTGGAGGTAGGGGGGAACGAGGGAAGAAATGCCGGCTGATATGGAAAATGATGGCTTGTGAATCAGACATGAAAGGCAACGACCAGCCATGCACCCATGCAGGGAAGGGCTGGGTCAAGTTGTTGTTGTCTGGTGATGGTTGGAGGGAGAGGGGAGGAACGCGGGAAGAAGAGATGATGATGGCAAATATGGAAAATGATGGTTCGTGAAGTGACTTTTGAGTCGACTCAAAAGTCACCTCGTTACCATGGCATGGCACAAGATGATGGCAAATATGGAAAATGATGGTTCGTGAAGTCGATATGAAAGGCACCGACGTACGTTTTCTATTATTGAGCGCTCTACTCGGTAAAGGAACTTCATTTGCAATTGTTTTGAGTCGACTCAAAAACTCGATATGAAAGGCACCAACGTTTTCTACTACAGAGCGCTCTACTCGGTAAAGGAACTTCATTTGCAATTGACGGTTTCAATACAATGTCTCTGCAGTTACAGGGTGTTTTTGAATTTTCCCAAGAGATACAGGGTGTTTTTGATAATTCTCAAGAGTTGCAGGTTTTTTTTCAGAATTGGCGGTTACATTACATTACACACATCATGGAACCTTTGGCGTACAGGTGAATGAGACTCTTCAGCGAGGAGAGGGCAGGAGAGAGTGATGTGAAGTTGTTGTTGCTCAGGTGCCTGTGGTTAGTGGGGAGAAGGGCGAGAAGAGGGAGAAGAGGGAGAAGAGGGAGAAGAGGGAGAGGTAACAGCCAAGCTGAAATTTGAGGCACAGGGGCGAACCACAGTCGGTAAGAGAGAGTGTTAGAGCGCTGTGACGAGGAGAGAACAGGACAGGAGAGCGAACCGTGAAAAGGTAGATTGCTCAGGTGCCTGAGTTTGCTGGGGAGAGGGGGGAAGCAGCGGGAGTGGTTAGCGAACAAGTCGATTCTTGAGGAGCCTAGGTAAACCACAGTAAGGGAGAGCGAGCTGAGTGAATTGGAGAGACTGGGGCAATAAAGAGTACTACGATTCGAGCGAAATATAGCTTCCGTTCTCGATTCATTTTTGGCGGGGTGAGAGTGATAGAGAGATAGCTTAGCACCCAGCATTACTCGCCCTCTGCCCTGTGCCCTGAGCCCTGTGCCATGGGTATCTAAAGCCCAGAGGCTGAATGACTCAACGAAGTCAAGTCAACACACATTCTTGGTTCGGAAGTGCCCCAGCAGAAGGTTCAGCAAGAAGACAGAACCCAAAATGCGCCCAGTTTGGCTCTCAGCTTTTGTATTTCAGGTTCTTTTTGAGACGTCTCAAAAATAACCTCTCTACAGAAGGTTCAGCAAGAAGACAGAACCCAAAATGCGCCCAGTTTGGCTCTCAGCTTTTGTATTTCAGGTTCTGCCCTGTAAGCCCCAGGGGCCAGGTTCGAGCAGCAGATAGGAGCGGCGAGAGAGAGACCAGCGCCGCTCACAGGTGCCCCACTCTGGTGCCGAAGGCGGCGACTTATGAGTGGAGTCATAAGAAGCGACGCTTGCCTCACTATCAGTGCCCCTCTCTGCGTCTCTTCTCCTCTCTTCATGAAGAGGTGCGAGCAGCAGATAGGAGCGGCGAGAGAGAGACCAGCGTCACTCACAGGTGCCCCACTCTGGTGCCGAAGGCGGCGACTTATGAGTGGAGTCATAAGAAGCGACGCTTGCCTCACTATCAGTGCCCCTCTCTGCGTCTCTGCTCCTCTCTTCATGAAGAGGTGCGAGCAGCAGAGAGGAGCGGCGAGAGAGAGACCAGCGTCACTCACAGGTGCCCCACTCTGGTGCCGAAGGCGGCGACTTATGAGTGGAGTCATAAGAAGCGACGCTTGCCTCACTATCAGTGCCCCTCTCTGCGTCTCTGCTCCTCTCTTCATGAAGAGGTGCGAGCAGCAGAGAGGAGCGGCGAGAGAGAGACCAGCGTCACTCACAGGTGCCCCACTCTGGTGCCGAAGGCGGGAACTGCCCCCCCCAGCTGGTTGCTGGTGACGTCAAAGTAAAAGAGCCAGGGGAGAGCGCTCATCTGGAGAGAAAAGGGTGGCGAAAGGGAGTGAAATGGAGATGTGAAGATTGGGTGTGGGGAGAGGTTGTGGGAATTTGGGGTGAACAAGGGGTTGGAGGTTGCTGGTGACGTCAAAATAGAAGAGCCAGGGGAGAGCGCTCATCTGGAGAGAAAAGGGTGGTGGGAAGAGGGGTGTATGTAGGGACTGCATTGGCTGTATACAGGGTTCCCTGGTTTGCTGTTTGCTGTTTGCTGATTGCTGATTGCTGGTTGCTGGTTGCTGGTGACGTCAAAGTAAAAGAGCCAACGGAGAGCGCTCATCTGGAGTGGAGAGAAAAGGGTGGTGCAAGGAGATGAGGATTGGGTGTGGGGAGAGGAAACGAAAGGGGCTGTTGGGGTGAATGCAGGGGGTTGGAGGTTGCTGGTGACGTCAAAATAGAATAGCACCCCACATGCGCTCACCTCCGTGGGGAGGGGTCCTGTGAGGCGGTTGGTCTTGGCATCGAGCCATCTGAGCCTAGCAACTGCAGTGAGCGCGGATGGGAGACTCGCCTGCAGTAGCTAAACCCTAAACCCTAAACCTTAAACCATAAACCCGCACTGACGCACCCCACGTGCGCTCACCTCCGCGGGTAGGGATCCGTTGAAGCGGTTGGTGTTCGCATCGAGTCGTATGAGGGTGGTGAGAGCAGTGAGGTTGCTCTGACTGCCGTGCCACCTGCTCTGCTCCCACTTGCGCACCCCACATGCACTTACCTCCGCGGGGAGGGATCCGTTGAAGCGGTTGGTATTCACATCGAGTCGTACGAGGGTAGAGATAGCAGTGAGCGTGTCTGGTAGTGAACCTTCAAGGCCACACCCATACAGATACCTGTGTGCGAGGCGAGGGCAAGGGGAGGGACGGGGGCAGAGCAAGAGAGAGGAAAGGGAATGGGTGTTGAGAGGCGGTTAGTGCTGGCAAGCAGCGTCACGGGCTGGTGAGAGCAGTGAGCGTGTCTGGGAGCGAACCTTCAAGGCCACACCCGTACAGATCTTAGTGGGAATATACGCTCAGAACCTAAAGCGTATAGCGTATATTCCCACTAAGGTACAGATACCTGTGTGCGAGGCGAGGGCAAGGGGAGGGCAAAGGAACATCACGAGGGTGGTGGGAACAGGCGGCGTTGTTGGGTAGAGGGGGGGGGGAGGGGAAGTGAAGCAAAAAGGACGCATTGAGTGTGCATTGGATGGAGTCACTTTTGAGAAGGGGGCAATGGGCAAGGAGGGGAAGGGGGTCCCAAGAAGAACCAGTTGCTATCAGCAAGGAGCATCACGAGGCTGGTAGGAACAGGCAGCGTTGTTGGGTGGGGGAGGAGGGGAGAGAGGATGAAGCAAAAAGAACGCATTAGGTGTGCATTAGATGGAGTCGCTTTTGAGAATTCTTAAAAGGCGAAGGGAGGAGTGGCGGCGAACCTAGGGCAGAGACGATAGGCATAGAGAGGCTAGGCTACATGGGTGGTGTGGTGCCTATTGAGGCGCCTCAAAAGTCAGTAACGGGGCTGCTGTGAGGGTGGGGAGAGAGAGAGAGAGGCAGCACTGCACTCACAGTGAGCTGGGTTTTGGGAACTCTCAAAAACCAGCTCAATAGGCATAGAGAGGCTAGGCTACATGGGTGGTGTGGTGCCTACTGAGACGCCTCATAAGTCAGTAACGGGGCTGCTGTGAGGGTGGGGAGAGAGAGAGTGAGGCAGCACTCACAGTGATGTTAGGTTGGTAAACTGGCTGATGGTCGATGGGAGGGAGCCTGAGAGGCTCGGGTTCAAAGATAAATCTCTGAGATAGGGGGGGCGGGGATGGGGTGGGGGATGGCGTGGGGGATGTGTGGGTGAGAGGGAGGGTAGGGTTGAATGGAATGGGGAGTGGACGAGTGGTCTACCATGGGCACGGTAAAGGGCCCGGGAGGTTCGGAATCAAAGGGAGATCTCTGGGGTAAGGTGGTGGGGGGGTTGGGGGAAGAGGAGGGGTATTGCATGGAAACTTGCGGGTGAGAAGGGGGGAAGACGAGAGAGAAGAAGGGGGGTTACAAGGCTCATGGGTGGGTCAAATTGCGTGGAACAGTAGGGGAGGGCGATCTGACTAACTAACGGATGGTAAGTTCTCTTCAGAATGAGGGTGTGAGAAACCTTATACGAGCATGCTTGTAATGAGGACGCTTACAGATTGTTTAGAGTGGTCAGGTCGAAGATGGAAGCGGGGATGTTGCCTGAAAGGTTCAATTGCTGCAGATTGCTGGGGAGAGGGAGAGGAGAGAGGGGTTGAGAAGGGTTGGAAGGGGTTGGGAAGACTTCTTGTCACAGGGTGCCTGATAGCTCCTCTACGTGAAGAATGGTGGGGAGGATAGTAGGAGAGAGGGAGGACGGGCGGGCGGACGGATGGTGGGAGAGCGGGAGGGAGGAAGAGAGGAAAGAGGAAAGGAGGAAGGGATGGTTGACGGAAAAAGAGAGGGTAACGGAAGGGTGGAGAGTGCACTTTTGAGACGTCTAAAAAACACCCTCATTTCTCGAGAGTGCGCTTCTGCGACAATCGTTCCAAGCTTGCCTTACAGCCGCGGTTGCTGTAGGTTGCTGTGCAGGAGTGGGGGAGGGAGGCGTGGGTGGAATGAGGAGGGGAGAGAAGCAACACACACGGAATTGACACGCAACGAAGTGGCACGCACGCACAAAGGTAACCCGCACAGAAGTCACACAGAGAGAGAGGAAAACCGCACTGCGCTCAAAGCCCTGTGACCACACTGGTGTTGCTGGCAGGCGGAGAGGCAGAGGAGGTTATTTCAGAACGCAGGAGATCGGGAGAGAAGCACTCACAGCCCTGTGACCACACTGGTGTTGCTGGCAGGCGGAGAGGCAGGGGAGGCTATTTTGGAACACAGGAGATCAGGAGCGAAGCACTCACAGCCCTGTGACCACACTGGTGTTGCTGGCAGGCGGAGAGGCAGAGGAGGCTATTTTGGAACACAGGAGATCAGGAGCGAAGCACTCACAGCCCTGTGACCACACTGGTGTTGCTGGCAGGCGGAGAGGCAGAGGAGGTTATTTCAGAACGCAGGAGATCAGGAGCGAAGCACTCACAGCCCTGTGACCACACTGGTGTTGCTGGAAGGAGCAGGCGCAGGCGAGCACGACACTCCCGGCCAAGCCGTCCCACAGGGGTCGCTGCCCGTCCATGCGTTGAAAGGTGGGTTGCTGGGTCCAAATGATGCGGATCTGGAGGTGAGAATGCTGACTGGAGGGTGGGGAGTGGGAGCAGGGGAGCAGGGGAGAGTGAGAGTTGAGGTGCAGGCGAGCACAGCACTCCTGGTCAGCCGTCCCACCGCCGCTCGGCCCACAGGGGTCGCTGCTCCCCGCCCAGGCATTGAAGGGGGGGCTGCTGGGTCCAAATGATGCGGCGATGGAGGTGAGGATGCTGACTGGGTGGGGAGTGGTGGAGGGGATAAGGGGAGGGTGGGAGCAGGGGAACAGGGAGCAGAGCATGGGATCAGCGGAGCAAGGGAGCAGAGAAGCAGGGAGCAGAGCATGGGAGCAGGGAGAGTGAGAGATAAGGCGCAGGCGAGCACAGCACTCCCGGCCAAGCCGTCCCACTGCTGCTGCCCCCACAGGTGTCGGTGCTCCCCCAGGCAATGAAAGGTGGGTTGCTTGGCCCAAACGATGCGGCGACGGAGGTGAGAACGGCGACTGGGAGGGAGCGGAGTGGGATCGGGGGAGCAAGGAACAGGGGAGCAGGGGAAGTGAGGCACGTGCGATCACGGCACTGCTCTCTCCACTGCTCGCCGCACAGGGGTCGGTGCTACAGGGATACGAATCAGGACACCCGGGTAGTGAAGTAGGGAATGAAGTAGGGACTACTTTTGAGTCGATTCAAAAGACACCCAGGTAGTGAAGTAGGGGATGAAGTAGGGACTGCTGGTGCTAAGTGATGCGGCGATGGTAATGAGGATGGCGAGTGAAGAATGTGGAGTTGGTGAGGGGAGACGGGGAGAGTGGGAGCAGGGGAGTAAGGGAGCAGGAGCAGGGGAGTAAGGGAGCAGGAGCAGGGGAGTAAGGGAGCAGGAGCAGGGGAGTAAGGGAGCAGGAGCAGGGGAGTAAGGGAGCAGGAGCAGGGGAGTAAGGGAGCAGGAGCAGGGGAGTAAGGGAGCAGGAGCAGGGGAGTAAGGGAGCAGGAGCAGGGGAGTAAGGGAGCAGGAGCAGGGGAGTAAGGGAGCAGGAGCAGGGGAGTAAGGGAGCAGGAGCAGGGGAGTAAGGGAGCAGGAGCAGGGGAGTAAGGGAGCAGGAGCAGGGGAGTAAGGGAGCAGGAGCAGGGGAGTAAGGGAGCAGGAGCAGGGGAGTAAGGGAGCAGGAGCAGGGGAGTAAGGGAGCAGGAGCAGGGGAGTAAGGGAGCAGGAGCAGGGGAGTAAGGGAGCAGGAGCAGGGGAGTAAGGGAGCAGGAGCAGGGGAGTAAGGGAGCAGGAGCAGGGGAGTAAGGGAGCAGGAGCAGGGGAGTAAGGGAGCAGGAGCAGGGGAGTAAGGGAGCAGGAGCAGGGGAGTAAGGGAGCAGGAGCAGGGGAGTAAAGGAGCAGGAGCAGGGGAGTAAAGGAGCAGGAGCAGGGGAGTAAAGGAGCAGGAGCAGGGGAGTAAAGGAGCAGGAGCAGGGGAGTAAAGGAGCAGGAGCAGGGGAGTAAAGGAGCAGGAGCAGGGGAGTAAAGGAGCAGGAGCAGGGGAGTAAAGGAGCAGGAGCAGGGGAGTAAGGGAGCAGGAGCAGGGGAGTAAGGGAGCAGGAGCAGGGGAGTAAAGGAGCAGGAGCAGGGGAGTAAAGGAGCAGGAGCAGGGGAGTAAAGGAGCAGGAGCAGGGGAGTAAAGGAGCAGGAGCAGGGGAGTAAAGGAGCAGGAGCAGGGGAGTAAAGGAGCAGGAGCAGGGGAGTAAAGGAGCAGGAGCAGGGGAGTAAAGGAGCAGGAGCAGGGGAGTAAAGGAGCAGGAGCAGGGGAGTAAGGAGCAGGAGCAGGGGAGTA